CCTCAGAGGCCATCATGACCTCAGTGCCATCATGACATCAGTGCCATCATGACCTCAGTGCCATCATGACCTCAGTGCCATCATGACCTCAGAGTGCCATCATGACCTCAGTGCCATCATGACATCAGTGCCATCATGACCTCAGAGTGCCATCATGACCTCAGAGTGCCATCATGACCTCAGTGCCATCATGACCTCAGTGCCATCATGACCTCAGAGTGCCATCATGACCTCAGAGTGCCATCATGACCTCAGAGTGCCATCATGACCTCAGAGTGCCATCATGACCTCAGAGTGCCATCATGACCTCAGAGTGCCATCATGACCTCAGAGTGCCATCATGACCTCAGAGTGCCATCATGACCTCAGAGTGCCATCATGACCTCAGTGCCATCATGACCTCAGAGTGCCATCATGACCTCTATGCCATTATTACCTCAGAGTGCCATCATGACCTCAGTGCCATCATGACATCATGCCATCATGACCTCTATGCCATTATTACCTCAGAGTGCCATCATGACCTCAGAGTGCCATCAACCTCAGTGCCATCATGACATCAGTGCCATCATGACATCAGGCCATCATGACCTCTAAGTGCATTATTACTCAGAGTGATCTGACCTAGAGTATCACCTCAGAGTGCCATCATGACCTCAGAGTGCCATCATGACCTCGAGTGCCATCATAACCTCAGTGCCATCATGACATCAGTGCCATCATGACCTCAGAGTGCCATCATGACCCAGAGTGCCATCATGACCTCAGTGCCATCATGACCTCAGTGCCATCATGACCTCAGAGTGCCATCATGACCTCAGAGTGCCATCATGACATCAGTGCCATCATGACCTCAGAGTGCCATCATGACCCAGTGCCATCATGACCTCAGTGCCATCATGACCTCAGGTGCCATCATGACCTCAGAGTGCCATCATGACCTCAGTGCCATCATACACAGCATCATGACCTCAGAGTGCCATCATGACCTCAGTGCCATCATGACCTCAGTGCCATCATGACCAGAGTGCCATCATGACCTCAGAGCCATCATGACCAGCCCATGACATCAGTGCCATCATGACCTCAGTGCCATCATATGACCTCAGTGCCATCATACCCAGTGCCACAATGACCTCAGTGCCATCATGACCTCAGTGACATCTTGACATCAGAGTGCCATCATGACCTCAGTGCCATCATGACCTCAGAGTGCCATCATACCTCAGTGCCATCATGACATCAGCCATCATGACCTCAGAGTGCCATCATAACCTCAGTGCCATCATGACCTCAGTGACATCTTGACATCAGAGTGCCATCATGACCTCAGTGCCATCATGACCTCAGTGCCATCATGACCTCAGTGCCATCATGACCTCAGAGTGCCATCATGACCTCAGTGCCATCATGACCAGTGCCATCACCAGAGGCCATCATAACCTCAGTGCCATCATGAAATCAGTGCCATCATGACCTCAGAGTGCCATCATGACCTCAGTGCCATCATGACATCGAGGCCATCATGACCTCAGAGTGCCATCATGACCTCAGCCAACTCAGTGCCATCATGACCTCAGAGCCATCATGACCTCAGAGTGCCATCTTGACATCAGAGTGCCATCATGACCTCAGAGTGCCATCATGACCTCAGTGCCATCATGACATCAGTGCCATCATGACCTCAGAGTGCCATCATAACCTCAGTGCCATCATGACATCAGAGTGCCATCATGACCTCAGTGCCATCATGACCAGTGCCATCATGACCTCAGTGCCATCATGACCTCAGAGCCATCATGACCTCAGTGCCATCATGACCTCAGAGTGCCATCATGACCTCAGAGTGCCATCATGACCAGTGATCTGACATCAGAGTGCCATCATGACCTCAGTGCCATCATGACCTCAGTGCCATCATGACCTCAGTGCCATCATGACCAGAGTGCCATCATGACCTCAGTGCCATCATGACCTCAGAGTGCCATCATGACCTCAGAGCCATCATGACCTCAAGTGACATCATGACATCAGAGTGCCATCATGACCTCAGTGCCATCATGACATCAGTGCCATCTTGACATCAGAGTGCCATCATGACCTCAGAGTGCCATCATGACCTCAGTGCCATCATGACCTCAGTGCCATCATGACCTCAGTGACATCTTGACATCAGAGTGCCATCATGACCTCAGTGCCATCATGACATCAGTGCCATCTTGACTCAGAGTGCCATCATGACTCAGAGTGCCATCATGACCTCAGTGCCATCATGACCTCAGTGCCATCATGACCTCAGTGACATCTTGACATCAGAGTGCCATCATGAGCACTAGGATAATAAAAGATGATTGAGGTGGATGAGTAAGGTGGATGCTTAAAGTGGATGAGTAAGGTGGATGCTTGAAGTGGATAGTAAAGTGGATGAGTAAGGTGGATGCTTAAAGTGGATGAGTAAGGTGGATGCTTGAAGTGGATAAGTAAAGTGGATGAGTAAGGTGGATGAGTAAGGTGGATGCTTAAGGTGGATGAGTAAGGTGGATGAGTAAGGTAGATGCTTGAGGTGGATGATTAGCGGCTGGCTGGGCCAATTCTCCACACACGTTCCCCTTGCTAAACTCTCTACACAATGGGTTTGACGTCAGCACCCAAGGAGGAGGAGGAGGAAGAGGCGAGGGGGGGGGGAGGAGAGAGGGGGAGGAAGAAGAGGGAGAGGAGGAGGAGAGGGGGAGGAGGAGGAGAGGGGGAGGAAGGAAGAGGGGGGAGAAGAAGAGGGGGAGGAGGAGGGGGGAGGAGGAGGAGGAGAGGGGAGGAGGAGAGAGAGAGAGAGAGAGAGAGAGAGAGAGAGAGAGAGAGAGAGAGAGAGAGAGAGAGAGAGAGAGAGAGAGAGAGAGAGAGGAGAGGAAGGAGGAACAGAAGAGGGAGAGGAGTAGGCATATCTAATAGGCCCCAGACCTTATACGCCCTTGTTCTATTAGGGCCCCATTTTTACGCCTGGGCCCAACCTCGTCAGCACAACTCACGTCAGCCCAACTCACGTCAGCATAACCTCACGTCAGCCCAACCTCACGTCAGCCCAACTCACATCAGCCCAACCTCACATCAGCCCAACCTCACGTCAGCATAACCTCACGTCAGCCCAACCTCACGTCAGCCCAACTCACATCAGCCCAACCTCACGCCATCCCAACTTTCAACACAACCTCACGTCATTATCATCTCAAATGCTGGCTATCATTTCAAACTCTCGAGTGACGTCACCAGCCTGGAAGCTTCCAATCAATTGAAGAGTTTATCTCTCTCTCTCTCTCTCTCTATTAGTATTTTATTATTTAAACTATGACAAAACGCCACACTTTAGCGAGTCTTTTAGCGTGAACTCAGACGAGCGTTCGTACAAAACGTAAACATTATGGGCGGATTCAGATGGATTTATTACAACCTGTGTCGTCACTGACCCGGCGCCAGTGTGTGTGTGTGTGTGTGTGTGTGTGTGTGTGTGTGTGTGTGTGTGTGTGTGTGTGTGTGTGTGTGTGTGTGTGTAATTATGGTTGAGAGAGAGAGAGAGAGAGAGAGACAAACAAAGGACAGTAAAGCCCTGACACACAACACACACACACACACACACACACACACACACACACACACACACACACACACAGTGATCTACACAGGTGTTACATTAACCTGTACACAATAACAGGTCCTAAGCAGACATCCCTCACATAGGAAGCATCCATCAGTCATATCAGTTGAGGCGGGCGATGGAGTCCGCTATATAACTCGGTTTTAATAGAATAGTCTTGTAAAGCCCTGTAAAATTAACTCCAGCTCACGTAACAGCACTGCATCACCGAGGAAGCCGTAACCCGCCCCCAATCAATGACGTCAATGGAACTTAACCAATCAGAAAGCATCCCTGGTATCAGCTTCAATGACGTCAATGGTACGCGACTAATCAGAGAGTTCCCAGAAGATTAACTTCAATGACGTCAATGATACTAGACCAATCAGTGAGCGTCGTTGGCATTACTGGAAGGTCATTCACACAAGAAAGTCATTTTTCATGTACGTTTTAAATTATGATTTCAACACAATATTTCAGTCACACATAAACACACATTCTAATTTTAGCTTTATGCCAGATGATTTAAAATGATTCTTATTTCCTTTATAACTTTTAGTTGATTCTACAAAGTATTAATAATAATAATAATAATAATAATAATATTAATGACAATACTACTACTGATAATAATAGCCCAATCCTGACTAACTTATCTTAGTAATTTAAAGGTATATGATAACACACACACACGTACACACACACACGTACACACACACACACACACACACACACACGTACACACACACACACGTACACACACACACACACACACACACACACACACACACGTACACACACACACACACACACACACACACACACACACACGTACACACACATATTCATATATAAGTTACACACACACAACCAGAAGGCCATTAACGATATAGATCTCTCGTGTTCGTGTGATAGATTGGGAAAGTTTTAGGAACCCCTGAATATTTCGGCTTATGTGTATAGCATCAGAGAAAATGGTCCTAAGGCTAACTATTACAGTATGGCTTTTAATCACATTTAAGCAGATTTTGTTACAGAATTTATACCGGAATAGTAACAAGTGTACTGATGGTGACAGTATAGTAATTAAGGCCGCAGTGTAATTACCTGGTGGTTTCTTATACACTACAGCCGTGTGTATGGTGGTCACTAGCCAGGAGGTCGACCACTGAACGGCTACTGTAGGCTCTACATGACCGCGGGACATATGGGCTGACTAGATATTTTTATATACAAATTGATGTTATGTATAATTTATTAGCAACGTTTTCATAATTTAAGTTTCCTAATATAATCACCACCAGTTGCCAGTGTTATCACCCGACTGATGGTTCACTGTGTTCTGTGCGTCAACTCACACATTGGTTTTTTTGTCAGAATCGTGGGCGGCGGAGCGAGCTGTCCGACGAGCCCCGGAGACCCTGGACTGGGGGTTGGCGCCCCCCAGCTGCCTCACCCCAGCAGCACTACACAACCTACTGACAGATGGCTTCTACGCCCCGTACTCGGCCAACCCTCACTACCTCCTGGTGGTGGACTGCCGGGCGCCTCGGGCCTTCACCAGGCGTCGACTGACAACAGCACGATGGCACGGGGCGCTGCACACGGCGCCGCCCCCCAACCTTGTCAACACCATAGTGCTCTACGATGACCGGCCGCGCACTGCCCGGCCCCAGCCTGGCGACAATGACCCCCTGGCCACTGTCTACCACGACCTCCGACGCCAAAAGTTGGACCCCCTGGTGCTATTAGGAGGGTGGACGGTGCTGGAGGCCACCTGCCCACACCTGCTGGAGGGAGGCGACACTACCCCGACGCCCAACCCGATGCCCTGGTACCCGGCACAGATAGTTCCCGGGTTGCTGTACCTCGGTCATGCTGAGATGGCGTCTGACCCGCACGTGCTGACGGCCCTGAGAGTCACACACATCGTGGACGTGACAGAGTGCCTCCCCCCTCGCGTGCTTCCCTCTATGAACTATCTGGTAGTTCCTCTGCCTGAAGAGCCTGACTGTACAGACAATGGCTGCACCGACCTCCTCTCTTCTCTACCTACCATCATGGCCTTTGTGGGGGAGGCGAGAACTTACGGCGGCTGCGTCCTGGTTCACTGTGACCAGGGCCTCACCCGCGCCGCTGCCGTCGTCATGGGTATCCTGATGGCGGAGCGGCAGTGTACCCTGGAGGACGCCTTCTACTACGTGAAAGGCGCGCGGTCCGCCGTGCACCCTAACATAGGTCTGCTGCATCAGCTGGCCAAGTATGAGACTGTGTTGTTCGGTGCCTCCCTCACTATGGTGGAGGACCTCTTCTGACCTGCACTCTCCCTCCTCCTCGGCTGCCACACACCCGTCACCACGCTACATCAACACACTTCATGACGTTGATGCTACTTAGAGACTTTTGTATCAACAATGACTAACATTAGCCTCCACATATCGGCAGAATATTGCAGCCTTTGGACCCGACCCCGCGGGGCAGTGTGAGCCTTTTGTCGCTAGGACACTCTTAATGACGTCACTTGATGCCCACGTTTGTTTGTCTTTCGTGTTCATAAACAAAAGGAGAAAGAACAATTATTACAGTCAAAATTATTTTGTAAATAGTTTCTAAGCTGGCGGCCATCACTGAGTCAGTGGCCCAGGTGTAGCTTTAATTACCTCCAATAATTGTAGAGTAGTGAGGTTTGAACATAACTAAAGTAGGACATTATATAAATATACTAATTATCTTTGTAGATAAAAACAAAACAGTGGAAAACTTATGTATAGATACAGTAAACGCCGCCACACTGAACCTGTTGTTAGACCACACAGCACACCTCAAGCTCTACCAGGTTTTATATATCAAGTTTGGTGCATCAGAACACAGTCAGTGTCCACGTTCATGAAGCGTCCCTAAAAACATGTACGTTAAGCTGATGTACAGTCGGGGCCAAAAGACTCTTGCTGCTCCACCAAGAGCCAGGCTCGTTAACCTCCGTGAACAGAATAATGCATCATTGTCTCCCGCTTTGGGTTCACAGAGAGGCGAGAGGACCTTTGACCCCTACTGTACGTTAATCGGACAGTGTCTGTGTTGTGTCGGTAATGGACCAACGATCAACAGACGAAGTTTCCCCACTCCCGAAGGTCGGTTTTGTTGAGGTGAGGACCACACCAAGCCAGACCAGGTGTGTGCCCCTCACCATCACAGTGTGGCCCAGGTAATCATATTATGTTGGAGGTACTAATTAACACCATTCTCTCACCTGGTGCCCCCCCCCCCTCCACGATTGTCTCAACCACCTGTATTCCCCTAAGGTCATCTGTAGGAAGATTAGGCTCAGTAACTACCTAGGAGCCTGGAGCCTGCACACACACACACACACACCACACTACCTTCTCCTACCACAACAGACTGACTATCACCTACCTGTCAGAATACTCGTCCACAGTCATAATAACAGTGGAAAAACAAGTTATAACCCCTCCCCCTTTTACAGTGCTTCCCTCTTCTCTTCTACAAAATATAATGGTTTGTGGATTAAACTTCATATAAAATTATGTTATATGAGATACTTAGTCCAGGAGGCCATATATATAAACCAGGAGGCCATATATATAAACCAGGAGGCCATATATATAAACCACTGATGGAGGATTATAAAAGAACTGACACTGTTTTACCGGTGATCGAAAAGTCCCTGTGCACCTGGATAATTAACCATACTTATACCTTGTTAAAGTTACTCCAGGTGTGTGTGTGTGTGTGTGTGTGTGCCAAGTCCACCTACATTTGGCGATCAGTGACAATTACTTTGGCGATCATATCACTTCATGGCATATCCAACTAAACTCCGCCCACTTTTACGCGTCCTTAGGAACCATGACTTCTCGTAGGAGTTGATTGGCTGATAAAGGATGCATGTAAACGAGATATGTCATTGGTCCATTAGATACAGGTAGGCGGGGCCAGAGGTGCACCAGGTGAAGGGGTGAGAGTAATTAAGAATCTCTCACCTCAGTTCTGTGTTATTCCCAAAGTTAATGTTTACATGTGATGGGTGACTGTTGTTGGCGGCAAGATCCCGTAATATATGGGATGACATGAAGATTAGCCACCCTAGTTTATTTCACCATAAGATTAACCTAACCTAACCCTGATTTATTTCATCTTAAGATAACCCCATTAGCCTAACCTAACCTAAGTGTGTTACAGAGACAGGTAACCGATCATACATACATACATACATACATACATACATACATACATACATACATACATACATACACACACAACAACGCCAGAGAAGAAAAAACTATAATTTGTTTCTGTTTAATAATTTCCTTCGCCAAAAAAAAAAAGCCGAAAAAATAGTCCTTGTAGTTTTGGGAATCATGCACTTGAACCTTTATAGCGTAGACATATAGAGAGAAGTGTGTGGTGTGGCTGAGTGAGGGTGTGGCTGAGTGAGGGTGTGGCTGTGTGAGGGTGTGGCTGTGTACCACATTAATGTCAAAACACTGGAGGCTAACTATATATCCTCCCGCCTTCCTTATATAAATAAATATATAAACATCTCAAAAGTTCTAAATTATTCTATATAAACAATATATATAGAGGTGTGAAGGATGACTTATGTTAAGTTTGAATATATATAGTAGTTATCTTGTCCATATATAGAAGACCTTTATTGATGTAGTACACCTTTGGGGAGTTGTGTGTACACTTAGGGAGTTGTGTGTACACTTAGGGAGTTGTGTGTACACTTAGGGAGTTGTGTGTACACTTAGAGAGTTGTGTGTACAGTTGGGAAGTTGTGTGTACACTTGAGGAATTGTGTGTACACTTAGGGAGTTGTGTGTACACTTAGGGAGTTGTGTGTACAGTTGGGGAATTGTGTGTACACTTAGAGAGTTGTGTGTACAGTTGGGGAATTGTGTGTACACTTAGAGAGTTGTGTGTACAGTTGGGGAATTGTGTGTACACTTAGAGTTGTGTGTACAGTTGGGAAGTTGTGTGTACACTTGAGGAATTGTGTGTACAGTTGGGGAGTTGTGTGTACACTTGAGGAGTTGTGTGTACACTTAGGGAGTTGTGTGTACACTTGAAGAGTTGTGTGTACACTTAGGGAGTTGTGTGTACACTTGAAGAGTTGTGTGTACAGTTGGGGAGTTGTGTGTACACTTGAGGAATTGTGTGTACACTTAGGGAGTTGTGTGTACACTTGAGGAGTTGTGTGTACAGTTGGGGAGTTGTGTGTACACTTTTGGGGGTTGGTAATGCACTTTTGGGAAGTTGTGTGTACACTTATGTGATTTGTGTGTACACTTATGTGATTTGTGTGTACACTTATGTGATTTGTGTGTACACTTATGAGATTTGTGAGTACACTTATGTGATTTGTGTGTACACTTATGAGATTTGTGAGTACACTTATGTGATTTGTGTGTACACTTATGTGATTTGTGTGTACACTTATGTGAGTTGTTTGTACACTTTCTAGGATTGTGTACACTTTATATTAACCGTGTACACCTAATATTAACCGTGTATACTTTATATGAACGTGTGCACTCTTTCTGAGAAGTGTATATACATTTTCTGTGAAACGTGTACACGCTTTTACGACACATGTACACTTTCCATGTGACGTGTACACAATTTTAAGAGACATGAATGTGGGTTAAGTGAAGGAGTTTAGTTTTTAAATGAAGTTAAAATATTTACTATTATCTCCGTGCCTCTTCACCCTCACTTGCACTTCAGTCTCTGCACTGGGTCTATCCCGCTATGTCACACAGGGTCATGAAGGAGTTAAATGCTGTTTTATCCAGAGTGTCACCTGCACCTTTAACACTTCCCTACCCCCCACCCATCCCTCCATCACTCCACCCAACCCCTTGACTCCCACTCCCCCCACCTAACTCCCTCCATCACCTTACCCAACCCCTTTGATCTCACTCACCTAACCCCTCCATCCTTTACCCAACCCCCCACCTCCTACTCCCCACCCATCCCTCCAGATCCCCTTACCCAACCCCCCTAATTCTACCCTCACCTAACCTCCATCCCCTCACCAACCCCCCTACTCCTACTCCCCTCACCCTAATTCCCCTATCACTCCACTCCAACCTCCTTTACTCCTACCCCTCACCCATCCCTCCATCACCTTACACAACCCCTTTATTCTCTACCCTCACCTAACCCCTCCATCACCTTACCCAACCCCCCTTACCCTACCCCTCACCTCCTTCCTAATCACAAATGAAGAGAACAGGGGATTTGATGGTCCCCACGAGGAGCTCCTCCTTGATGAACTCCGGGGCCAGACACACCGCACTCAGCCTTCCCCTGAAATCATATGGGAGGATCTGAGAGCGGACAGCCCATTGTCCAAACCAATCACCTCGGAAGAACTCAACACAGCCATCTCCAATACCAAAAATAAAGACCCTGGTTATTCAGGCATCACCAAGGAGATCCTCAGCCACGGAAACAACCCGGCCATGGAGAGACTGAGAACCACAATGAACGCTTGCCTGGCCTCGGGTTACTTCCCAACTAAATTCAAAGAGGCCATTATTACCCTAACAAGGAGAGAACCCCGCCGTCCCACTAAACTACAGACCGATCTCCCTCCTCGAAGTACCTGGAAAAATCCTGGAAAAAATCATCAATAACCGTCTGAGAAATCACCTGGAAACAACAAGCAGAGTCAACTGCAGACAATTCGGGTTCAGGAAAGGGAAGTCCACCACAACAGCGATAGCCCTGGCATGTGAAAACATAGCCAGAGCCGCGGCGAGTGGTAGACAATGTAATCTAACTCTCCGGGAGGTAGCGAAGGCATTTGACAGTCTGGCACGACGGTCTAACATATAAGATCCTCCAACTCGGACTTCCCACCAACATTGAGAAGCTGCTTTGCAACTTTCTTGACGGCAGAAATGCCAGACTGAGGGTAGGACAACACACAGGAGAGACCTTCCCACTCATGAGCGGAGTCCCTCAGGGGCGCGTCCTCTCCCCCACCCTATATATTATCTACACAAGTGACACCCCGCCTCCCACTAGAATAGGTAACGAAGATATTATGTATGCAGACGACATCACTCAAATAACAACACATCAAGGAAAATCGCGAGCGTTACAGGCCGAAAACACCAGGCGGGAATTAGAAAGGGTAAATAACTACGAAAAACAATGGAAAATCCAAACCAGTCTCCCGAAATTCACAGTGATACCCTTATGCAGAAGGAAAACCCATCCATTAGTAACCAATAATGCCCAGATAGAATAAAAAAGCAGAGGCACCCTCCTGGGCCTAAATATATCCACGACAGGTTACTCCCATCATGTCCACAGTAGGAAGGAAAAAGCAAGAAGAGAGCTGAGAAAACTATACCGCTTTAAAGCGCTTCCTGAGAAAATTAAACTCCGCCTGGTGACATCATTTATCACACCGATATTAACTTACCCAGCAATACCTCTTCATACTATGAGCACCACTCAAATATTAAAATTACAGGTGGTCCAAAATGAAGCCCTAAGATTCGTCACAGGTGAAAGATACCCCTTCACCAGAACCACAGCCGAGATACATAGAGACCTGAGAATAAAACCCACCAACCAGCAGCTGCACCTGGCCAGCAGAATCTGGCAAAAGATAGAACAATCAGAGCAAGAACTCCTTCAAAGACTCCCACCAGATAACGACATCAACCATACATGGCTCCCAAAAAGTTACCAAATCTCAAAAGGTCCATTACCACCCCCGGCCAGGCAATAGACAACCTCCCTAGACCAGCATCCGCCAGTAGGGTCGGCGGAATATGAAATAAGGCCCTTAAAACACCCATATATGGGACAGGGTAGGATGTCTAGTGCCTGTACTGACAAACAATAACTAACCCATGACACAACCCTAACACACTGTCAGCTTAGCTAAGCGGTCAGCCCGCCCTCTCTTACCTCCTCCTAAACTTCTTCAATTTCCGAACTATAACTTCCTTCCCCCACCTCTAACCTTCTTTCACCCCTCCTTTCACCCCCCCTTTCACCCCTCCTTTCACCCCCCTTTCACCCCTCCTTTCACCCCCCTTTCACCCCTCCTTTCACCCCCCTTTCACCCTTTCACCTCTCCTTCACCCTTTCACTCCTCCTTTCCCTACAAAAAAAAATCTCCCTGGACTCTGGTGAAGGAAGCGCCCCCCCCCCTATACACATTGCTGTTGACCACGACATACAGACACACAGACAGCTGAAGAACACTTATAGATTCTGCACGTTAAAAATAAAAGTTCTATCTCATTACTGTGGATATTAACATCATTATCATCATCATTATTATCATCATCATTATTATCAAACAGGTTCCGGATCTCATGCTTAGCGGTGAAGAAGTTTGTTATTACAGGTCGTTACAGGTTGTTACAGGTTATTACAGGTTGTTACAGGCCATTACAGGTTATTACATGTTATTACAGGTTTTCGGGTACTGATGTTAGGAAAACTCGTATTTTAAGTGAGGTCTGCTGTGTACTGTACAAGTGGAACCTGTAGAGACTTGTACTGAGGTAAAAGTGACCTGCAATGGCCTGTATTGAGTGAAAGTGACCTGTAGAAACCTGTACCGAGATGAAAATGACCTGTAATGACCTGTAATGGGGTAAAAGTGACCCGAAGAAAGACCTCTACTAGGATGAAAATGACCTGTAAAGACCTGTACTGGGGTGAAGAATGATTTTAACGACCTACTACCATTTATCATCCACAAACATGACAATAGAATGATTTTAACGACCTACTACCATTTATCATCCACAAACATGACAATAGAATGATTTTAACTACCTACTACCATTTATCATCCACAAACATGACAATAGAATGATTTTAACGACTAATCGTCCACAAATATCCTAATGTACAGTGATATTCTAAACCTTTTTCAAATGAATGTTTACACGAAGCCTTGAGAACTGTATTGCACTGTAGGGGTCGTTGTCTACAGTGACTCAATGAAGCAGTGATACCTCCATATAACGGACTTCTCTATATAACGGACGTATCTCCCTCCATATAACGGATTTCTCTCCCTCGATATAACGGACTTCTCTCTGCATATAATTCGTTAGATGGAGTATTTTAAATCTAATGGTCCCTCGATATAACGGACTTCTCTCTGCATATAACCCGTTAGATGGAGGTTTCACATGTAACGGACCCTCGATATAACAGACTTTCATCCCTACAGTCCGTTATGTCCAGGTTTCACTGTAAATATGTCTCAAGTCTTGTATCTTACATCATGGTTTACACAATTAAAAATATGACTAACTATGTCTCGTGTTTTTATTTCATTCCTTCTTTCATAAAAAAATATATAGAAATGAAATAATAAAAAAAGAGAGGAAAAAGTGGTATTCTGTTGACTATTTGACCCAAAACAGAAAAAAATTATTTAACGATCGCCCCACAAGGGGTCACAGCTCAAGATTGAAGAAGCCGCAAGTCCAGAAAACTGTGAGCTCTTTCAAGACAAGACTTGACCAACACTGGAGCGGGTTCAGGTACATTCAGGAGCCGGTGCATGCCAACAGTGCGTGACAGAGACGTGACCGATCGCCCGGGCGGCTAGCGAGCCGATGTGAAGAGGATAAAAGTAAAGGTAAAAGACTATTGTATTTTCAGTTTTTCCTTCATTCTTTGACCTAAAAATAAATAAAAGTGGAAAGAAAGAAAAAATCCAATCTTCTTTCAATATATCCACTCACTGTTTTCACCATTTTCTTTCAAATTATGAAATAAGAAAGAAAAAATCAATCTTTCACCCGTACAAAAAAAGTGGGAGTTACTCTTCATTCATTATTTACGAAAAAAATACCGAAAAGTTACTGTAAAAATTCATAAAGATTAACATAATATCTATATATTTATTTATCTATCTATCTATCTATTTATCTATCTATCTATCTATCTATCTATATATCTATCTTGCAATCCATCTCGCTCTCGCTCGCTCTATTTTACCACAGTTACCCCCAAAACATACGATACTATACACGGTTTCTTTGATGCCCGACTCGATCAATGTTTTGGAGGACCAACTCAAATATTCATTAATTTAGAGCTGTGGTATTCAAGTGGTACCAGATGGCCCTTATAGGTGGCCTTTAAATGGTACCGTATGGCCATTAAGTGGCACCAGATGTCTCTTAAGTGGTACCATGTGGCCCTCAAGTGGTACCAGATGGCCCTTAAGTGGTACCAGAACTTTAAAGTGGTACCAGATGAATTTTAAGTGGTCACAGGCAGGTCTCCAAATGCTCAGATGGCCTCAGGTGGTATTTCAGATGGGCCATTAAAGTGGGTACGGCCACAAATACTACTACTTACCTACCACCAGTAGAGTTCTCCACCACCACCACCACTGTTCCTTAAAGCCACCACCAATTAATTACCACCACCACCACTGTCCTCAGCCAACACACTTAAGGCTTATCGAGCGATGAACTTATTGACAAGAGCAAGACAAAGATGAGTGTCTTGCATTTGTGCCTGGCCCTCACCCCTCTGGCCCTCACCTGCCTGGCCCTCACCTGCCTGGCCCTCACCCCTCTGGCCCTCACCTGCCTGGCCCTCACCCCTCTGGCCCTCACCCCTCTGGCCCTCACCTGTCTGGCCATCACCTGTCCGAAGAAGTACCACGAGTTGGGTTAAATTAAAATCGTTTCCATAATACACATTATAGCACATACACATATTACGGTAAACCCTCTCAATACCAGACTTCTCAATTCAATAATCCCTCCCAATACCGGACTTCTCAAACAGTAAACCTTATCAATACCAGACTTCTCGATATAATAAACCCTCTCAATACAGGACTTCTCAGTACAATAAACCCTCTCAATACCGGACTTTTTCTTGCAACCCCTGTACACACACACACACACACACACACAACATAAAGAAACAAAACAGGAATACAAAAAAATCAACAAACAAAATAAAGAAATTATAATCCAAACATAAACAGACGCACCTGAAGCCTGATGACCCAGTGTCCCTCGAGGAGCTGTTAATTGACTTACCTGGAAAAAATAAAAAGATCAATTAGTTACCTGTGTCCATCACCTCTCACGCCCGTCACAGCCAATTACGGTAAGATTAATAATGTAGCTGGACCACCTGCCCCCCCCCCCCAGGTAATGTTTGAGAGATTAATCTTCAGGTTAATTAAATAAACTAGACAGGTGTTTAATCTTCAGGTATACCAAATTAATTCCTATACCATCTCCAATTTTCTCACCTTACCTAACCTTACCTACATGGAACATAATTCTTTTGTATCCATTATTACGTAACCTTTATTGACAGGTGACGTAACAGACATGAAGTACAAAAAAAAAGGTGATTTGTGGGTTTTTAACGTTATAAGATAATTTTGTAGACGGTGGTGTGGGGGGGTGGGTGTGGGGGGGTGGAGGGTGTAGGGGGTGGTATGGTGAGAGGTGGAGAGAGAGAGGGTGGGGGTGTGGGATGGAGAGGCGTAAGGGAGGGGTGGGGGAATGGAGTGAGGGATGGAGAGGTGTTAGGGAGGGAGAGGTGGAGAAGGTCGAGGGTAAACCAGGTGAGGAGGCTTCAGTCATCCTCTGGCCTCGTCCACAGGTAACATCTCCCCTCCCCTCCTACCAAAACATCTCTTAATTAGCCCAAATGGACTGTCAGGTAACCCACAACACCCCAACGAGATAATTTGTGCATTTGGTGGATCTGAGGCGAGGAGTTGAAACCATGTTGCCCCATTCACCAGGAGCTGTTGTCGTTGTCTGCTAATTAATTACACCATCGTGAGGTTACCTGTGTGATAATGTCGGCAGGTAAGAGGAGGTTAGATACGATGATACCACTGGGACCGCCTGAAGTCGTGGCCACCCTCCCGCCTCTACAGTTGGATTTAGAAGATTATGCCTCACCAGCCTTCCCGACGCCCTTCATTCACATCGTCAGGTGGAGTAAAATCTGGGGTTGTCTGCCCGTCTCCTACAGCTACTCCGCCCGGTCCTGGAGGCTCTCACCTTTCCTCACCTGCTGGGTCATCTGCGCCATAGGGTTTAACGTCCCTACCTTCTATGACTGCATCAAGTCCTCCCTGGGTACGGACGGGCTCATGCTGTACGTGATGATCATGATCGTGTGCGTGATGAGTATCTCTGGGGTGTCCATGCACGTCTTGGCTCTACTTCACTATGACGAGTGGATCGACTTCCTCAATAACTGGATGACGTTCGAGCGCAAGTTTCCTCCGTTGACTGTTGGTGTCCATTCCTTCAGGGTTTCCTTCCCACTCTTTATCGGCTTCTTCCTCTACATCACCTTCTTCGTGGTCAACATCTTAAATGAACTTCGTTTTAACCTGATCAACAACGACGGTGTGTGGAGGATGTTGTCTCTGGTCTACGTCTACGTCATCTACAGCTTCACCCTCTCCATGCCCATACTGTGGGTGGTGATGGCCTCCAAGGTGTTCTCAGTGTGTCTCTGTCACATCAGGAGGGAATTAGAATCTATAATGGAATGCGTCAGGTTCGGGATCCGGTGCACTAACTCTCCTATACAGAAGTGCATCGCTACTGGGGACATGAACCGCATGCAGGAGGCGGTGCTGGACCTGGCGAAGATCATCGAGGGGTTCAAGGCCATCATGGGACCCTTCATGCTGGTGATCATTCCTCACCACATCGTCTCCCTCATCTGCTTCCTCTACTGGACCCTCGTGTCTATCCTCGACTACTCTGACTGGTACTTCCCTCTCAGCTTCAGTCTACTGTCTGCCCAGGCCATTATGCCCATCTTCTGTGGCGCCATCTATAGTGAAGACGTCCACACTCAGGTGACCCACCCTCACCTCTCTTGTGTACACTGCTATGTACAGTTGTTATAGGAGTACAGTGATGTGTACAGTGATGTGTACAGTGTTGTCATTAGTGTACAGTGATGTGTACAGTGTTGTCATAAGTGTACAGCTAGCTATCCACTCAATATACCTACCCACACACACTAGCTACCCACACACACTAGCTACCCACACACTACGGCTACCCACACACTAGCTAGCCACACCATGAGACTAACGTTTACACTGACATACTTGCAGAAAGAGGCCCTCATCGAACCACTCATCATACTGAAAGGCTCCATGACAGACGAGGCAGCTAAACATAAGGTGAGTATGAGGGCCTTCTTGGTGTGTTAAGTGTGTGTGTTAAGTGTGTGTGTTAAGTGTGTGTGTTAGGTGTGTGTGTTGAGTGTATGTTTAAGTGTTTGTGTTTGGTTTTAATTGTGGGTATAATACTACTACTACTACTACTACTACTACTACTAATAATAATAATAATAATAATAATAATAATAATAAGAATAATAATAATAATAATAATAATAATGTCAAATTCCAATCTGTGTAAGTAACAGGACACTCAGTAACTGTCATTAAGTAACAGGACTCTCAGTAACTGTCTTTAAGTAACAGGACACTCAGTAACTGTCTTTAAGTTACAGGACACTCAGTAACTGTCATTAAGTAACAGGACTCTCAGTAACTGTCTTTAAGTAACAGGACACTCAGTAACTGTCATTAAGTAACAGGACTCTCAGTAACTGTCTTTAAGTAACAGGACACTCAGTAACTGTCTTTAAGTAACAGGACACTCAGTAACTGTCATTAAGTAACAGGACTCTCAGTAACTGTCTTTAAGTAACAGGACACTCAGTAACTGTCTTTAAGTTACAGGACACTCAGTAACTGTCTTTAAGTTACAGGACACTCAGTAACTGTCATTAAGTAACAGGACACTCAGTAAGTAACAGGAAACTCAGTAACTGTCTCCACCCTCAGATGACCACACTAATTGATCACCTTGACAGACTCGACGCCCAAATTGAGGGTCGAGGCTTCTTCACTCTTAACAAGGGCATGGCCACCACGGTAAGGCAGCGGCAGTGGTGGTGATGGTGGTGGTGATGATGATGATGATGATGATGATGATGATGATGATGATGATGATGATGATGATTATATTACTAATAATAATAACAATAACAACAAAAATAACAGCCCCACAACACCACACAACACAACACCACACAACACAACACCACACAACACAACACCACACAACACAACACCACACACCACACCACAACACAACACCACACAACACAACACCACAGCACACACCACACCACACAGCCTCTCAATGCTATAGTGTGAGTGTGAAGGTGATTTGCTGTTCAATCTTTCAGGTGGTAAATACTGTAGTCACCTATTTAGTGGTGCTGATACAGTTTTACGGTGGAGGGCGCTGATTACTGCCACTCTTCTTCTTCTCCTCCTTCTTCTCCTCCTCCTTCTTCCTTTTTCCTTCTTCTCCTTCCTTTTCCTTCTTCTATCTTTTTCTCCTACCTCCTCCTACGCCTTCCTCTTTGGTCTATCAGTACAGTGACCAACAACCCCAGCACTGCACTCGGCCACCTTACCTCACCCAACTGAACTGAAGTTGTCGCGGGCGAGAACCAAGGAACCATAATCCAAGAGCCGAGCCCTGTGTACACCCGGCCTCCACATCCAATATATACATAATCTCAATCAAGAATACATAAATACAAAATAACTATGTATAAAGGATGAAGCTATGTTATTATTAGATGTTACAGAATTAAAATATATACTGTAATGGAGCTTAGTGTGTTATTATCCGATTTAATTCTCGCTGTAACACATTTAAGCTCAAGTCTGATCTCTCTCTCTCTCTCTCTCTCTCTCTCCCAATAATTTCTTCCTTAATATACCCAAAAATTATATATCGCTTAAGAAAGTATGTGCCTATGTCTTAGATGATACCTTCGGGGTCCTAACCTAACCTAAACGTAGCTTAACCTAACCTAACCAAAGCTAAGTTAATCCGTAGTGTGGCCACAATTAACACCAGATAGTGATCCATACTTCAAGCCATTGTGGGGCGGTGTGAAGAGGCGGATCTTTGTGGGTTGGGGCGGGGGAGGGTGGGGGTGGGGAGAGTGGCGGGGGGGGGATGAGTGGAGGGTGAATAGTTGGGGGCGGGGAGGGTGGCAGTAAAGGGGGTGAGGGGGGCGGGGGTGAGGGGGTGGGGGCGGTGAGTGGCAGGGAAGGTGGCAGCTACAGATTTCATCAGTCGATCACCGGATGTCATGGAAGATAACAGCCCAGGCAAGTCCTGCCAGGGACCCCCACACTCCGCCTCAAGGGCCACGTACCAGAAGAGTGACACTTGAGTCTTTTAAAAGTACATTGATTGTTTGGACATGAGTGTTTCCCCGTGGCGCCCCTTAACACTTTTCCTGGAAGGCGAAGGGAAGGAGTGTAAAGGAGGAAGTGGTTACACGTGTGAGGAGAAAAACATGAAGGTGTTATAAAACGTGTATGGGCTGGAGATCTGTGTCGTGTGTGTTAGAGAAACGTTAGACACAGATAATGTTCGCACACAACCCCACCACCCTGGCAGAACTTCCCTCCATCTCCATCGACCTGGAGAGCATAGCTATGAGGACCTACCCGACTCCCTTCATCCACATTGAGCGCTGGAGTAAAGTGTGGGGTTGTCTGCCCATCACCTACAGCTACCCCAACCGCTGCTGGAGGATGTCGCCCTTCCTCACCTTCTGGGTCCTCTGCTCCATAGGGTTCAACGTGCCCTGCTTCTACGACTGCCTCAGGGCCTCCGTCGGTGGGGACAACAGCATCACCCTCTACGTGATGGTGTTGATAGTGATGGTGATGAGCATCTCGGCGGTGACCATGCACGTCCTCTCCCTCATCCACTACGACAAGTGGGGTAAGTTCCTCGAGAGTTGGATGATATTTGAGCGTAAGTTCAGGAACCTCACGACGGGGGTTCACTCATTCCGCCTCGCCGTCCCGCTCTATGTAGGCTTCCTCATCTGCGTCACCTTCTTCGTGGTCAACATCTTAAATGAACTTCGTTTTAACCTGATCAACAACGACGGTGTGTGGAGGATGTTGTCTCTGGTCTACGTCTACGTCATCTACAGCTTCACCCTCTCCATGCCCATACTGTGGGTGGTGATGGCCTCCAAGGTGTTCGCTCACTGTCTCTGCCACATCAGGAGGGAACTGGAATCTATACTAGAGTGTGCCAAATTTGGAGAGACGTGTACCTTGCCTGTCCAGAAATGCATCGCTGAGGGTGACATCAGTCGCCTACAGGACGCCGTGTTGGAGCTGAGACGCATCATTAAGGCGTTTAAGGCCATCATGGGACCCTTCATGCTGGTGATCATCCCTCACCACATCATCTCCCTCATCTGCTTCCTCTACTGGACCCTCGTCTCCACCCTCGACTACTCTGACTGGTACTTCCCTCTCAGCTTCGGTCTACTGTCCATCCAAGCCATCGCCCCCATCTTCTGTGGCGCCATCTACAGTGAGGAGGTCCAGACACAGGTATATTAGCCTATCTTCCTCACTATCACCGTCTTCTTCACCATCAGTCTCCCTCACCATCAATACCTCCAAAACACTACCACCACACTATAATCTTGGCTAAGTTCGGTTGAATTAGGCTAAACTGGGTTAAAGTAACGTTAGGTAGGTTAATCTTCAGGTGAAATAATCAGCCTTGGGGAGACGGGTTTAAAATTAGTGTAATCCTAATTTTTCTGAAACAAATTCCTGCGACACAAGTTGATTTATTTAAAGTAAACAAACAGACGTCACCAGATGATGTTAGGTGGTGGGTTAGCTGGTGGGTCAGGATACAAGTAGTGGGTTAGCTGGTGGGTCAGGATACAAGTAGTGGGTCAGCTGGTGGGTCAGGATACAAGTAGTGGGTTAGCTGGTGGGTCAGGATACAAGTAGTGGGTCAGCTGGTGGGTCAGGATACAAGTAGTGGGTCAGCTGGTGGGTCAGGATACAAGTAGTGGGTCAGGATACAAGTAGTGGGTCATCTGGTGGGCCAGGATACAAGTGGTGGGCCAGAGACAAAAGGCATCTCCAGCGCCACACTTGTGATCCTCCACCACCACACACAACCACACTTACACTACAATGCATCGCCTTAACCCTTACCGATACGAGGAGAAAAATTTGGAAAATAAAGTATAAAAAAAAGTAATAATGTTAATATGACTAAAGTTGAAAAAAAGTAAAAAAAAAAGTAATAGTTTATACGACAAAAGTTTAAAAGCAAAAAAGTAACATTATTACGACAAACGTTTAAAATAAGTAAAAAAAAAATATTAAGACGACAATGGTTGAAAAATTATTTATAAAGTAACAATATTAATACAATACTTATACAAACATGGATCACCTGAAGATTAAACCCCCCACAGCTTATTACCCTATTACAATCTACCCCGCCCCCCCACCACCTCCAGGTAGCGTTAGGTGTTCAATCAGGTGAAATAAACTAGGTGTTAATCTTCAGGTGATCACTAAACATTTGAAAGAGGTTAAATGAGGTAATATAACACACTCACCTCAGCGTTGACTCAAACATGGTTCCAGGCGTTTAGAGGTTGAGTTTCATGCGTCATTATCCTTAATATACTCATTATCCTACAGTGCACCATCATCTTTCTACATAACGTCATTATACGCCACTAGTATTTATTCTCATCAAACAGTCAATAGTTGTTACTTTATTTATTACTTGACTTACACAACGATGGTTCGGCTATAGGGGAGTTTCTTGTCTATTTCATGTTGTTTTCTTCACTTTATACACTTAAAACACTTGCGTAATCCTAGTATATAATTTCATTGACACTTCAACGTTATTTTCATGCACTATTATATCATTACAATGTTAAGAAGGAGTTTAATTAGCGAGAAATATCACCGGTACATTTCACTTCACTTTAAACTGGATAAGATGGCGAATGTTTACTTCCTCACACCTCACCAACACTTACAATCACTTATTATTTTCGTCAATGGAGGAGTGAGAAAATATCTAATTGAATATTTATGTTGAAAAAAATATATATTATACTCTACCATAATATAACTTCTGATTGTGTTAGTGGATATATAATATATATGACCTTCCAAATGACGTTCAGTTGAAGCACGTGACTACACTATTTTTTACTAACATGCTTAAGCAGTCAATACCTATATACGGTAAAATTGCAGAAGTAACACGTACGATGTTTAACCTAAGTGAGAAACGAACATAAAATTCCCCTAATAATGTATTTTGTAGCTAAGTAAACCAGAAGTAAATATATTTTAATAATCTAGGAAACTTGCATTGAGAAAATATTATTTTTGCTCACTGTGATTGGGAATTCCTTCAACACAGCTTAAATGTCTCTGATGATGTAATTAACCATTACAGAAAAACTCCCTCATAGAGCCCTTGTTAATGCTGAAGGGGACGCTGAAGGAGGAGGAAGCTAAAGTCAAGGTGAGTTTTCATTTTCATGTTTTATATTGACACACCTGAGATTCGTGCCCCTTAGGTGGTCATCTGAATATTAGCCCCCAAAGTGTTCACCCGCGGATCACCCCCACCAAAAAAAATAAAAATGTTCCTTTGTTGTTACAGATGTACTAAAAACTAGGCTTCACGGTGTGTGTGTGTTACTGGTGTATGACTGTGTGTGTTACTGGTGTATGACTGTGTGTGTTACTGGTGTATGACTGTGTGTGTTACTGGTGTATGACTGTGTGTGTTACTGGTGTATGACTGTGTGTGTTACTGGTGTATGACTGTGTGTGTTACTGGTGTATGACTGTGTATGTTACTGGTGTATGACTGTGTGTTACTGGTGTATGACTGTGTGTGTTACTGGTGTATGACTGTGTGTGTTACTGGTGTATGACTGTGTGTTACTGGTGTATGACTGTGTGTGTTACTGGTGTATGACTGTGTGTGTTACTGGTGTATGACTGTGTGTGTTACTGGTGTATGACTGTGTGTGTTCTTACAGATGGCGGCCTTGATCGACCACGTTAGCAGAACAGACGCCCAGATTGAGGGGTGCGGATTCTTCATACTTAACAAGGGCATGGCTTCCACGGTACGTCTCTCTCTCTCTCAATGTACCAAGACAGTGGAAGTATATAAACAATGGTAAACAGTAAAGCAATATAAAGATATCAAATAGAACCAACCACATGTTCAATTCCAGTGAGGTCCTACAATTAACCTGTACCTTGTTTCCTTCTACAGGTGGTGAACACAGTGGTGACCTACCTGGTGGTGCTAATACAATTCTACGGCAGTGGACGCTGAAGTTGCTGGACGGAACCTTCAACACAAGTTTTTCACCACCCGAGTCTGTGTGTGGTCACCTGAAGATCAGCACCTCCTCCAGTTTATTTCACCTGATGATTAAACACCTTAATGCTATCTGGTGGGGTTAGATTAGGCTAGAGTAGGTTAGATTAGGTTGTTACATTGAATTATATTAAATTAGGGTGGGGTAGGATATATTTGGTTAGATTAGGGTAGGGTAAAGTTAAATTAGGAACGCATTAGCCCAGTACCTGCCAACAGTGCGTGACAGAGTCGTGACCGATCGCCAGGGCGGCTAACAAGCCGATCAGTGGCGAAGAGGATAAAAGTAAAAACATATGAATAATTACCAAACAAACACCTTTAAATTCTAAGATCGTCATGAATTTGGGTCCCTAACCCCGTCGTAAGTCGGAGAGGAGCTGGGTACGATATTACTTGATCTAAAACAAAATAACAAAATAAATGAGCATCAAACCGTCAACATTTGGTACATAACCATTCCCCTCATCAAAAATGTGTCAATCTTTATTTTACTTTCTGTATAATGTCGATGGTATATTTTGATGTTTTTATCAGTAGTTTAAGTTGACAAGTTAGAGGTACTGTACGAAGAGATGCAGTGGCCAAATGGATGCACATCACTCACCTCCCGTCCTAAAGGTAGCTGGTTTGATCTCGGGGCACTCTTGGTCAACCCAGCTGTAAATGGGTACCTGTTTTTACACGTAGGGATTAGAAGCAAAGGCTAACGAGTACAGTGTCGGCCATGCTATCCAATCTCTCTCAAGCTGTTACACAATACCAAATACTGTATCTAGAGACTTTAAAAAACCCTTATAAACATTTAAATTCTACTGTATATAAAGACTAAATAAAATATATAAATGTTATGTATTAATTTCTTTACCTTATAGAGGATGTTAAGTTATGAATGATGTGCTTAAACCACTTTAGTACAAATCATGTGAGTATATGTCATCTCCCTCAACTGGCCAATCATATTACAGCAACTCGATGACGTCACTCAACATAACACCAAGAAATCAGCCGTCTATACTCATGTTGTTTTAACCGTAAGCCACCCATATGCTGGACCCTCACTAGATGTGAATTCGCGTTTAGGCAGCGACCGTATTTCTACCATTTTATGCAGCAAAGATTCCCTATTACGTGTTCTGTAGAAGACATGGCGCACTAGTTTTATATATTATCTTTATTTCTAAGCCACATAAGAGTATTGTAATGATTTTTCTACAACCTTTACTGTTGACTTTTAGTAGATGTGGAACATATCCCAATTTTCACCACAAGATTAAGTACTCACCATATGCGGATTCCCATTATGCCGTGTTGTCGCAGAACACAACCATAGCATAAAGCGAGTGCTGTATTAAGATCAAATAAACATTTAACAAATATTTCTTTATTGTACAAGTAAATCAAAATGTACATAACATCTCAGAAGACCAACAGTGTCAAGGACGAGTGAGTGCAGCTGTGTGAATTGTAACAAATGACCACAACTGTCACGCTACACTGAGGTGACGTCTTGAGAGTGGGGAGGAACCGTAACAGCTGGGATGGACTTATCACTGATAGGATGTACACATTACTGGTACAGGGTGTTTCAAAAGTCCTGTTATCCAGATGGCATATTACATTTATTACAGAACACATGTACCGTACAATCGTGAAATCGCCATCTCATTAAGAACAGGAGCATCAGGATATCTTCCATGAAATGCTTCTTTCACCTGTGCATAAGACGGCAATGTATGAAGACCCGCTGCACCTGGGAAAACAGTATGTTGCTCCCACTGAGAACAAAGCACCAGTAGTACCAACTGTTGGATGTAAGAAAGATTCCGACACGTCGTCACTTATTTCGTGGTGGGTAACGTGACTTTTGAATCACTCCGTATAATGGAATTATTACTGCTAGGATGGCTCTATTACTGCTTGGATGGATTTGTTATTGCTAGGGTGGATAATTTAATGCTAGGAGAAGGAGTACTGTTCATGTTCAAGATGGCTGACGAGGATCAGTTGGTATGGACGGTGTTTCTCCCACACAGTCGCCTTTGTAAGGTACACAACCAAGTGGTCCTGTGAAGCTCTTTTCGAGGATCAATATATTTTGGCTGCTGCATATTCATCTATACAGCCACCTAACATTCATCTATAGTATACACAAGGATTCAAGGCTGGTGGTAATGCCTATGTAGAATCAAACCCCAACAAGACCCCAAGATAACAGGATATCTTAGTTTTAAATGAACAATAATCCAGCTTTATGATTATCCTGAATAAGAAGACTTTATCCATATATATTTTGTCCTTTTAATGTGATACTTGAAGAGATTTTATTATCCAGGGTTTTATAGCAAGTCTCTCTTACCTGTGGAGTAAAGAAACATGAATGATATATATATTTACAGATAAAGATAAACCATAAATATAAACAAGGAACCAGTATAGCTTTGGCGGGACATTTCTGCGGTTCATCACCATATGGCTGACCGGACTATAAATGCTTCTTGTGTTACAGCACCAGATCCTATTTAACAAAGAATTAAACTTTACTTACCTCCTAGAAAAGAGCATCACAGGGGATAGATGTAGATTATCGTCAGGTAATCTAGTTAAGACAACAACAACAACTTTTGGTCTGTAAGCATTGTCGAGAGATGATGGCTGTAAACTTATCTTTATCAGCAGCAAAACTTACTGGGGAATGAATTGAAATTATAACTATCTCCTTCATTACTAAATCCTTGTCTGAGGATTATAATTTCATGGATTTTTTTTTTTAGAAGAACAAAAATCTGATCAAGTCTAAAGGACATCTTCTCCCAATCAGTGTACAGACCTTCGATGCTAAATCACCTTGCAATTGGCCCAAGTAGATCCACATAGTACAGAACAGGAACAACGAGTACTATTTCTCAGAGCAAAAACATATAAAAAAAAGAACAAATATGGTAGTTTATTATCCTATGACAAATGGAGGCAAGTCAATAACAACAGACAACTGGACACAAACACCTCTGGCGCACGAAACATCGTCAACAGAATCTCGACATAGGAAACCTTATGAAATAGCCTCCCTAAAAGAAAAGTTTACCTAAGTAACAAGCACCATCCTGTGTTTTATTTTAATCAGTGCATATTATGAGGAGCAAAATAATCACCCAAAACAAGAGATGAAGCTTGGCGAGTGATGGTTGGAATTATTCTCACAGCTCAAGTCTCCTTTAGTTAGTCTTCCCTCTTGGGTGGAATATAAACCTCACTCATTATTATCTATCTCAGTGGCTGGTGCTGCTGTCTCACTCGGCCACGGATGACATACGAGCATTACGTTAACTTATTCAAAGACAAAGACACAAACTTCTTTTTGGTGTTAATAAGCCACAGCTGGCTGGGTGATCTTATTAGTAGTCTCAACATTAAGTGTAGGTATGTAAGGTCCATCAATTATTATTTCTGGTGGGTGTGGTTAAGCCCTGTCCACCACACCCACCTCTCACACCCACACACCTAGATATCACAATATTCAACAAGTATGCATATTAACTCCTGTACAATAATCAACATTGGGTAATAATAATAAATACTAAAGTTGATATAACAAAACAGTCTTCACCTTATCTAATCTATATGATCTTTAACCTGATACAGATGACGTTTTTTAAGTACTGACCATAATAACAGAACAAGTCCGATAAGAATACCATTGTGGAGTGAAGAGGAGCGAGTCACACACCCTTCCCTCACCAACCTACGAGTCAACGCCCATTCTTGCACGCACACACACGCACACACACACACACACACACAGACACACATATTGCAACGAGTCTATGCAACATACTCCTTTGGTTTATGCAAGAAATATAGATACAGGAATTTTATGATGTTATATTACAGACATGTGTTGAAGTATACATAGAGAGATTAATTTGAGCCAGAGTATAGTTGAGGGAAAGGGTGATCACGCTGCCTTCTGGTGTGCTGGACTCCTGAAGCAGAAGATGAGGAAGAGTGTGTACATGATGAAGGCCAGAGTGATGGCCCCGGTGGCATACATGAAGAGGTTCAGTTCTGGGTGTTTAAACCTGTTCTTCTGTAGCCAGTCGAGTACCTCCTCCTCCACGGACAGATCCCCTGAAACACGAATACCGATGTTACTTTCACAATCAAGTGTTTATGAAGATATTTTACACAATTTCATAATCATACAATTATTATATCGATAATTTATTGACTGTTCACCATTTTTCTAGTAAGGATCCATTGTTGTATTTATTTAAGGAGTATTTTAAATAATCTAAGAAAAGTTTAACAATCACACTTTTATTTTTATTTTTTTATTTGTCATTTCTATCATTCATCAGCATCTTTGTTATGACCTTTATTATCCAGTGTTAATACAGGAGCAAACTGTAGTACCTGGAGAGAAAACTTGCCATGATTGGTAATACTGTATCACACTAGATAACACCCTTCTCAAATATAACTCGTGCTGGACATCGAACCCAGAACACAGTAGTGAGAGCCCCTTGACTTATACCACTGTACCACCAACACACCCTCCCAAACCTAACCCATTACCCACCTCTGTATATACTGGGGAATCTCCTCCTGAAGTAGACGAGGGCCGGCAGCTTCTGGATGCCGTACTTCTTGGCATAACGAGTGTCGCGGATCTTGACAAAGGTTATGTCCAGGTCATCGGTCTCATCGTCGATATTCTCCAGCTCAGCCAATACCTCCTCACTCCTGGCGTTGTCTTCATCTACAGGTAACAACAACAACAGGTGAGGTAAGAGTGGGACTTTTATGCTCTAGAGTGGCACCTCTATTGAATGGCCTACTGTTTATGGAAAGCAAAGTCCATTATATTGAGGGTCCGTTAGATGTGAAACTTCCATCTCATGAACTATATATAAAGAGAAGTCCATTATATGGAGGTTTTACGATATAATGCTCTTTTTTAAACTTGTAATACACCAAAACAAACAATAAAACTATTCCATGATCACTGACTTCTCTCCCTCTAGTTATAAATTAGTTATCAACCTAATTGGCCACTTCACTGTACTAATTATAACTTTCTAATAACTAAATCCTCCTCAAATAATGTGATAACTTTAATCTACAGGTATGTGTCTATTAGCAAGTATACATTACTTATTGTTGTACTTTTTTAACTTTTTTCCACAATAAACATCTAAAATCAGGAAGATATTTTGTAATTATCCGGTACACACACACACAACTTACAGAAGTACACGGCCACGAAGTCATTCTCATCGAGCAGTTTCTCCAACATCTTACGGTTCACTTCCTCGATCTCGTCCTTGATCTCAAACACGTCTTGGGAGGTCAGCCACTTGAACACCTTCTCCTCGTCCAGTAAGTCACCTGAAGGAGGGGGTGACAGTGATTATTTTGCTACCTAGAGAACTGCCAAGTAGAGAGAGGATCATTTTTTTCCAAACAATACAATATCAATAGACAAGAGCTCTCACTGTCTACCATAGCTTCATGTTTTGTCACCATAGTTCCATATCTGGCTACCATACCATACTGTTCAGTCCTGTATATCAGAATTACTTATTAATCAAGTATCTATAAGTGTGGGTGACGTGAGTAGACAGACAGACAGATACCCACCATCATATACAAGGGGCATCTTTTTCCTGAAGTAAACAAGGGCAGGAGTGTGTAGTATGTTGAACCTATGGGCAGCGTCTGGGTCATTGATCTTCACGAAGTCGATCCCTGGTGAGAAAAAAAGGCCGGTTGATTTATAAGGTCATTTTCGTGTTATTATTTCCTACATGTCAACCAAAAATACTTAATTGGTGGATAATATATTATTGAAGATATATAATAATGTAAGTAATAAGTTTGGTGTTGTGTAGTAGAGGGGAAAGGAAATGTTAGATGGCAAAATATACATAAGAACAATTAGGGAAAGACAGTACAGTACTAAAGTGATTGAGACACAAAGACTCGCCCTATACTGTAGTTACAATACATCTTTATGCTGAGGTAATAATTCAAAGCTTATAACAATCACTATGAGCATCGTGGACTGACATTACAACTGCAATACTTATCTCTGGGACGACAAAAGCTAATATCAATCTCATCTTAAGGTTGAATTGAGAACTTGAAGCCCAGGTATTTGGTGAAAGAAATTATTTGTGATATCCAAGTAACACTAGTACATGCTCAGGTATCTTCAGGAGCATTCACATGTCCACAGTGTGTAATAGAGAACAGACAGACCACTTGACCATCAAGTGAGGTGACCAGGGGTGAAGATGATGATGACGTAGAGTAAAGTAGACACAGGGTGAGGTTGTGAGGTGTAGTGTGGCAAGACTCACCAAACATGTCGACCTCATCGTCAATATTCTCCAGCTCCTGAAGTACTTGTTCACAGTCGGGGCAGTCGTCCTCATCTTCCAGGGAGGAGGAGGAGGAGGAAGGGAAGGAGAGGAGCAGAATAATAGCATTAATAATAGTTCAACACAGAAATACTCCCTCATGTTAAAGTATCTCCACGTGTGACATAATTGAACGGTAAATAACATATGTCAAGAGGAAATGGTAATCTTTATTTATATATAATACTTATCTTATGGGTGATACGTCCTTAAATGTATTAGGGTTATGATAAAGCAGCACTGAAGCCAGTAGGTGGGGAGGGGGGAGGTGTTGATGGGGGGGAGGAGGCGGTGTTGATGGGGGTGGCAGCCTCTCCTCTGGCAGCCACCAAGATAACTGCCACACTGAGAGGTTGACGTAGAGGGGGCAGGGGCGGGGACGACAGTGATACGAGAACAAGCTGGTATCATGCCTTTCGTGACCACTGACGATCATAGTGAAACCTCCATATAACGGACTAACCACTTGCATATAGTCCACTACATAGAGGTTTCACTGGACAGTATTCATGCTATGGACTGACTCGTTGGGTGAACAGGAGACACACACACACAGGAGGCCGTGAATATGGATTACCCACGTCTTGTCTTGGGGGGATTACCTGAAGATTAACCCCCACCCCAGCTTATTTCACCTGATGATTAAACACTTCTAATGCTACCTGGGGAATGAGGTTAGGTTAGGTGAGGTTAGGATAGGTTAGGGTACGGAAGGTTGAGGTACGTTAGGTTAGCGTTAGATTAGAATTGAACAGATTAGGTTAGGTTACATTAGATTAGCAATTGGGTGATTAATCTTCAGGTGAAATAAACTAGGGGGGGGTTAATCCTCAGATAAACCTCTTAAGGACCCATACACTAGGAAAGAACCTGAAGCCACATGGAGCTTTGATAACACCCGCAGACCTTAAAGCAAAAATGTTGAAGCTCGGTCACATACTTAGATTAACCCTTTACTTCTGTGTAACTCTGGCTGTCTTGCACCATGTTCTTTTGTGCAATTAGATCATAAACTGGTACTGAAGTATACATAAATTAAGTAGATATTCAGTGTCTACGTAATCTACAGAACTACAGGGGGATAAATTAAGTAGAAATTCAATCTACCGAATCTACAGCTACATGAGAGGATACAGGAATTTCAAGTCACTATACTACAAATACAATCAGACTGACAGACTTTATGGTAAATATGTCAATGATGGAATTATGCCTCAAAATAATAAAGTAAATATAGATTTTTTTTATTAATTCCATCACTAACTCATGCATCTACCATAACACACAACTTGTCAAGGCTTTGTGGTCAATTGTGAGTGAGCAGCCTCGTCCTGGAGACTATAACGCAAACGGCCGCTCCACCAATGCTACTCACTATCATTCCTCTCTATAAATTAACACTCCAGTGGTCTAGGGTAAAAAAAGTGAGCGTACAAAAAAAAGGTTTAAATTAGACAACGGTACAAAATGGTCAAAAGTTTAGAGAAATTGCCAAAAAAACTAAATTAATTAAAAAGCATATATAAACCATTCATTATTTAAGTACCAGGAACCAGCCAGTCTCCAATGAAAACTAATCTATGGTTAGGTTCAGTTTGGATCATCTACCTTCAGGATAATGGATAGTTTAACAGCTCTCTGATAATCTTCTTAATTAGGGTAATTTTGAATGCAGGAGTGGGAGTGAGAGACCGGAGAGGGAGTGAGAGGCTGGAGAGGAAGTGAGAGGGAGTGAGAGGCTGGAGAGGAAGTGAGAGGAAAGAGAGGGAGTGAGAGGCCAGAGAGGGAGTGAGAGGCCAGAGAGGGAGTGAGAGGCTGGAGAGGGAGTGAGAGGCTGAGAGGGAGTGAGAGCTGGAGAGGGAGTGAGAGGCCGGAGAGGGAGTGAGAGGCCAGCGAGGGAGTGAGAGGCTGGAGAGGGAGTGAGAGGCTGGAGAGGGAGTGAGAGGCTGGAGAGGGAGTGAGAGGCCAGAGAGGGAGTGAGAGGCCAGAGAGGGAGTGAGTTAGCGCAGCACTAAGCTATCTCCATCGTCCGAGCGTTGGCTACATGCAGGTAAAACTCGACACAACATTCTCTGTATTCTGTGCACACCCCCAGCCACTAGACCAATCAGAGGGAATCATTTACACCCATAATATCCTCGACACTTTGGCCATACGATCACAAACTCCACGAGATCCAACTCAAATGTTCATGTCAATAATATTCCACAAAACTAAATCAGTAAGAATGTATATATATATATATATATATATATATATATATATATATATATATATATATATATATATATATATATATATATATATATATATATATATATATATATATATATATATATATATATATATTTGTCACTTTTTTAAGAGTTGTACCATATAATTATTGATGGATTAGTGTAATTAGTGTTATGCATTTAATGACTTTAGTTGTTAATGCGTAATAACAACATATCATCAACTGAATCGCGTCAAAATTTCCAGTATGTTAATTTTGTTCCTTAAGTGAATGTGTGTGGTTAATTTTTATCTAATGAATTTTGTGTTTTAGTTTATGTTAGCCAGTTTAGTACATTCTTACATCTCCATTTAGCTAAGAGAAATATCCATCGTTCAAACATATGAAGGACTGCTCTTTGATCTGGACAATATATTGTATATTATCTCCATAGTATAAAAACGCAATATATCAACAAATTATTTACGAACATAACTGACATTTGTACACCTAAGGAAATTATTTTACATATTATGGTATTTTAAGATTCAAAGAGACATTAATAGCTTTAAGAATAGGACAACTTGGTATTTAATCTTTGTAGTTTTAACCTTGTAAAACATTGCCTCAGAATACGTGAGAAATTCATATCATTAAATTAATTCAAACATAAATTTAATTAAGAGTTAAAATCACAATAGAGAGTTAAGTTAAATTCATAGTTAAAATTATTACACTCAATTTAAAACAAAACTACTACTACTACTACTACTATCAACCACAATTTGTTAGCTCAACAATAATCACCATCAACCACAATATCTACAGCAGTTACCATAATATTAGGAATTGTAAACAAAATCAGGAATTAATTGAAAACAAACAAGTGTGAAAATGAGATGTTTTTTAAAGGGGTTACTCAAGCAGAATTGGGTATGTTTGGAATCGTTGCTTAAAGGCATTCAGGTGAGATATAGAAAACCGAACATGGGGCTAGAGAAAGACCGTCATTCAGGCTAGGATTGGACGGAGTGAGTGACATTGTAGGGATTTTCTTTCTTAAACGATTTTTGATGTCACGGTAAATAATACCATGTTAATTAATGACCTATCCATTTGAGGTTATATTTGGTTGGGTTTGGTTGGGTTGGTTAGATTAGGTTAAGTTTAGTTATAGGTTAAGTAGGGTTAATTCAGGTTTGATTGTATTACGTATTTGAAAAAAAGACATCACTCACTCCAGCCAATGACAGTCCAACTACCAGACGCTGTAGCCACATGTCAACACGACTGCCACCAAGCAGACGAGGGGAAAAAACAGGGGAGGATCGCTATCCGCCAAAGGAAACAAAAAATTTTGTCCCATTCTATTTAGTTCTATTCATCTCTAACATATCCACTAGTTTCCTATTTTCTTTAGCTATTACCAATTTTTTGCTAGGACCAATTAGGCACAATGCTAGAGACTACTATGGGGCAGACAGGCAGGCTGGTGTGAGCAAAACAGGAAAAAATAATTGTTTACAGTCTACATCGAAATATATTCTTATCGATGTCTTTAGCCAGAGGGTTGTCAACTTTAGGTGATTAGGTTAAACACACAGGTAAAATATTTATATCAATAACCATGTAAATAAATATATTGATGATGTTTCGCAGAACCTCAATCCATTCTTAGTTTCACAAGACGTTTGGCTATCAATAGAAAACAGCATAAGGTCAAGTGTATTTTTTTTAATGGAGCATGACTTATGACACACCCTGTACAATAACTAACCAATCATGTGCTACTGGATATTAATACCCTAGTAAGAATAAATAAATATATCCTGTTAGTTTTAATGTAATATGACATACGGCATAAGTATAAATGTCTATTACTAACGCACATCTACCATGATATAAGTGGTGAGGAATTCAGTCGGCCTCTTTTTTTGTGTTGGATCCCCTATAAAGGCATTTAAACTTGTTAATTTTAATAAACGTATAAAACTTTCTGGAGGCTGTTGTGTGGTGGTGTTTTTGCGTATGACGAGAGCAATAATACGATAAATTATAGAACATTTCATACTGAATCTGTTATGTAATTACAGTATATATACTGTACTATGCTAATAAAATTATAAAACTTTAAATTATGGAGAATCTAAAGTATAATATAACCTTTACGTGATAATGTATATTAATAAAATTATAAAACCTTAAATTATAGAGAATCTCACATATAATTTGAGTGTTTGGAACCATCACTTGACGACCCATTGGCAAAGACATTGTGTAAAGTTATGACCACAAGGATGTTCTGTGTGTACCCAGCCCTGAGGAGCATAGAGGCACACGGGTCATAATGTTATATAAATACTTTGTACTGTATTGTTCTGGCAACTGAAGTGTCTTTCCTCAACCAATAAAGTTGTCGTAGGAAAAATTAAAAACATAACATTACAATAAAACCTAAACTAACATGAATCTAACACTTCAACATTACTTTAATCTAGGTTAAAGTTAACAAATGGATAATATACCATCTTGTTAACTTAACCCAAGATTAGGTTAAGTTAGTGTTAGGTTAATGTTAGATTTGATTGTATTACACGATATTTTATTTTTTCTCCAGGACATAATTTCTCGTTGAGGAAATCCACTTGACACTAGATACATTAAAATTACTTACAGAAGAGCGCGGCAAGGAAAGGTGATTCTTCCAAGAGGCACTTAAGCATCCTAATATTAACATCTTCAATCTCTCCTTCCAAATCACGATTATCATCATCAGTCAGCCATTCCAGCACATTAACTTCGTTCTGCATATCTCCTAAAGTGACGAAAACAAATAATCATTCATAGTAAAGCCTGGGAATGAGAATACGACTTCCCACCAGCCTGTTTGTGTTGCAGAGAAAGGGGTTGGTCAGCCTGTAAGGGGGGTGTTCAGCCTGTAAGGTTGGTCAGCCTGTCTGTGGACCAGTTATAGGGCAGCCCAAAGTTCTCAATGTTTATAAAACGATCATTACCCATAACTAATAATGTAAGACTTCAAACTAAATCATTAAAAACAACTAACATTAAAATATAGCATCAAACTCATACTAAAATTGTACCTTATTTATACAACATGTTAAGAGACGAAAAGACTACCCGGTATACAAATTACTTCTAACTTTTCCATATCCTCGTTCTATCTCCCAACTGATGCTAAATAAACGTTGAGGTTACAGTCTCGGTATAATATTGTGATGCTATATTTTGAGTTGCTTTTTTGTGCTTCGGGTGAATTCAACTATTGTTTTATTTTAGCTTAAAGTGAATTCAAATATATATATATATATATATATACATACAGTATTCTTTTTTCTTGTCTGTGTATGTGTGTGTGTGTGTGTGTATATATGTGTGTGTGTGTTTTCATTAAGAGAATTCAACTCAATATGGCACCTTGTTACATCATCAGCTATGAGGAATAATCAAGAGTAGGAACCTTGAGAACTTGGCCCTTGGGATAAGCGGGGTGACAGGTGTTGAGGGAACTTCATTTCTCCTGGGTTCAAAGTAATAATAATTTGCTCTCACTGTCAGATATACCTGTATGTAATTATCATATTTTACAAGTTTTATGGATATTCAATAAGTTTCTTGATGTTTGTGTTTACATCTGGTGTTTACTGATGTCTGTGTTTATGGATGTTTGTGTTTACAGATATTTGTAAATCAAGGAACTCTGTAAACACAAACATCAAGGGATTCTATAAACACAAACATCACAGGACTCCATAAATGCAAACATCGAGGGACTCTTTAAGCACAAACATCAAGGGACTCTGTAAACACAAACACTAAAAAAGCGTAAAAATTTGCCTCGAAGCCGAAATTAGATTATATTTATGAAAAACATTAGAGTTACCTTTGATACTCAATAAATAATAGAATTCAGATTGTGAAAAAAATTACGGAGACAAAATGAAAGACAATGAGAAGCAACGTTATTTATTTACACTGAACGCGGGAGACTTAAGTAAGTTCTCGTTACCCCCAACAGATGGCGCCCGTCAACAGAGAATGGGACAAGACGTTCACAGTTATTATTTTGGTTATAAAGCAAAAAACAATTATTAAATAATACACGATGTTTAGGGTCGAATCTCCACGTTCAGCACACTGTCAACATAATCAAAAAATTAAAAAAAAAATTAAAAATCATACAGCCGGCGGATTAAATAAATGATAAATTAACACAAAGGAAAGCACTTGGGGATGTATCTGGAAAAGCATTGTTGGAAATATCAGGGTAAATAATAATGATGAGCCAATGGTGTGTATACTGTGTACTAGGCATATGATAACACTACTGTATGTACACACAAGCTACGGTAGACATATATAACATGCACGCCACACACTTTTGTTAACTCCAAGCTTTTATTCTCGAGACATGATGGAATTTATCAGAACAAAATAATAAAAGGAATGCAGAAGCCTTTGTTTTTATTAATTAATCGTGTATAAAAAAAAGGGCAGTTTCTATCGAAGTGATAAGTAGTATAAAGCATTTTTGGTGGATGTGAAGGAGTACTCACAAAACAAGGCGGCCAAATAAGTTGACTGTGCTACAAGTTGGTCCAGCATAGCAGGATTTACGTGTTCAATTTCATCAACTAATTCTCGATTCTCATCATCACTCAACCAATCCAAGAGAAATTTCCCATCCTTTATTTCACCTGAACGAGAAAAAACGGAAGTTGGTTGTCATGTGAGGGCAAACCCGGGTACCTGAGTCTTAAGAGATCCGTATAGTAATGTACATCACCTGAAGAACAGACACCCAGAGCGTATTTCCTCTCAAGATTAACCACCCTAATGCGAACCTAATCTAACCCTTCTCAGGTAGCAGTTGGGTGATTAATCTTCAGGTGTAATAAGCTGGGGTGTCTAATCATCAGGTGATCTGTTGATTTTTCCCCAGTTATTGGAGATGAGACGATAAACTTAAGATCGAATTTTCAATACAATCTTAACTCAGTTGGATTTAAGGGAAAAAATCAACTTACGAATCTTTGAGAATCTAGTACTGTACGGGTTGTTTACATGCTGGGGGTAGAGGACCACACAGTGAAGATGGATGGTCAAGATAGGGTCACACAGGGGGCCGAAGAAAGGTCAATTATTATCATGTAGTTTGTCATTCACCGCACAACATGCCAGGTCGTGAAGGGTCATTTCTAAGAGGTCAAAGGTCACAGAACGCTTGGCTTGGAGTCCATATATATGTTTACAGGAAAAGTTAATAGTGTATCTGAGGAATAAAAAATAATAATATCGTCATGGCAACTGAATCTTTAAAGGTGATTCCTAAACATTATACAAAATTTACATCAGTTGCAGATACAGAGTCGTCAAAAGAGAAACTCCAGATTTCAATTGGTTATATTAAAATCTGGACATTGTCTTTTTATACTTTTTACTGTATATATAACTTGTATCTCCCCAACACAATTAAATATTTGGCTTTTGTTTGGTGGTTCCATTAAAGGCTTACAATTAACATGCCAATATTATGTTTTGGGGAGCCACAGATCCCCCCCACCTTCTCCTGTACACATATATATAAACTCTAGAAACAGTATCATTAAAACCTTTGAAAGCTAGAAATGCCTTAAGGATAAACTCAGTAAAAAAAAGAAAAGAAAACAAAGTAACCTGCTGTGATTTTTCTGGTATCTATACTTTTCTGCTACAGTTTTAGACTACAAGTAAACATTACGTGAGTGTAGCGTAAGGATGTAGTCGCCACACACAGAGCTCCTGTTTTACACAATGGCAGGGACCATCATCCTCATCCCTGCTTCTCTTACGTACTGATAAAAACGGCGGCAACAAAAGGGTTATATTCGACTAATTGGTTGAGCATTGCCCTATTGACCTCTTCAAGAGTTCCTTGTAATTCACGATTGTCATCGTCCGTGAGCCATTCGTAGACACTTGATTCCACACTGAGGTCACCTGGAGAGAGGGCAAGTGGGAGGAGGGTCAGGTCAGGTCAGGCAGGAGGTCATCAAAACACCATCAGCTAGGGAGAAGGGGAAAGTGCAGGGGGGAGGAAAGGGGGAACAAAAACCGAGGAATACTCGCCTGGCAGAAACGATAAAAGTCGCAAAAATATGAAACAAAATCATAGAGGAAGTGAAATCAGGCTTGTATTGGGGGGTAGTGTGTCACGCAAGATGGCTTACTCATAAAGAGACCAGCAAGATATAGTCTGGAGGAAAGTATCGCTTCAAACATTATGGCATTAACTTCTTCAATGTTGCCTTCCAATTTACGGTTATCATCATCGATTAGCCAGTCGTAGACCCCAGTACCCACTGAGAGAAGGTCATCTGGAGAGAATAATCACCAGGTCAATGCGGACTCAGGTCAATCAGGAGCCACTGGAGAGAGAGAACAGGAGAAGAGGGAGAAAATATAAATACTAGGTTGGGTGGCGGGTGAGCCTGAGAGAGGGAGGAGGCACAGCACGTGACTGGCTTACTCATAAACAGAACAGCCATAAGTGATGTGTTAGGTAGGATCTGTCGCAACATTACATCATTGATTTCTTCGATTGTGTCTTCAAGGTCTCGATTGTCTTCACTTATGAGCCACTCAACGACTTCTTCCTCGTCTAAGATGTTGTCTGCAGCAGTTGGTGGAATATGAAAATAAGACGCTAAATAAAACCTAAAAATGAAGAATTGTGTTGACCATAAAATAAGACAGGAGACCATTAAACCCTTTTCTCACGTGTGGTACAAACTTTCTTGAAGGTTTCACCGAATAATTTTCCTCATTATTGGAGATTTGAAAACGTATCAAGGTATAGTAACTCATTAGCAATTGGGATCAATTAGAACTGGGGCCCATTAGAACTGGCTTAGTTCAACTAAGATCCATTAGAACTGAAACCTATTTTGTCTTGGATCCATTAAAATTTGGCCAAATTTGACAATCAACCACAGATAAATTTCATTTCAAGATTTCAGTACATTTAGTGATGATACCTACTGTAACATACATTACAATACTCGTGTTGGTTTGGCATTGCAAGTTGTCAGTCGGTCGGGAAATTCTTCATAATACTGGTCATAAAAATTATTCCAATTCTCACTCATGGCCACAAATTTCCAAATTTATGACTGTACAAAAGCTTAAATTCATAGGCAATTTCACCCTATTTTCACGATTTTCCAAGCTTTTGGGTGTAATTCAAGCTTATTTCATCTGCAGAATATTAGGGTGGTTAATCTTCAGGTAGAAAAGGCTGGGAAGAGATGTAATATGAACACTTGAAGACAATCATAACAACAGCACAAACTGCCCATACATACTACTTTTGTTTCACCTTATAAATTATATCATGTATTTAACTTCTTGAGAGTAACAATAGTTCAGATTATCCCTGAACACGACTTTTGTTCCATCTTGTACGTTCAAAACTATGTGTAGTACTGAACACCTGTACTGTACATACTTGTAAATTAATGATCGGAAACCAATAACAAGAGTTCCGAATTTGATAAATATTTTAACACTGAAACAAAACAACTGTAGGAACTTCATCTGCAAACACACAAAAGATATTAAAAAAATACAGTGTGTGTGTGAGAAAATCTTTCACTTCTCATACAATGTACTTAATCCATCTTAAACATGACTAAATCTACCTATACAAAATATTTACTCTAAAAAGTTACTAAAAAAAACTTACAATGTCAAAAATGTTTAAAATATACAAAGATCACAAGTAAATATCTAAAGTAAAAATAGCAATTGTTAAGTGTGTTTGTTAATAAGAGGGATATACAATATTCTGGTGCTGATTAGAATAAGTGTAACTCTATGTGACATGTATTCCCAAGTAAAAGACGTAAGAACAATAAAAAAACAGAGAAAATAAGAGAAAGAGAGAGAGACAATGACAGATAGACACACATATAAAAGGACGTAGGACGCGCCACACTGACCGTCAAAGATAAGTGGGTTGCCATTCCTGAAGTAGATGAGAGCTGGCAGGGTCTTGATGCCGTAGCGTTTGGCCAGCTGAGCATCCTGGATCTTGACCATGTGGATACCATACAGGTCACACTCATCGTCTATGTTCTCCAGCTCCGTGAGGACAGTGTCACACGCCCGGCAGTTGGGTTTATCTGCGGGTATCATATTGGGGTCATACGCATGCATATATACACACACATGCATAGATACACGTATATATGTATGTGTATGTGAGGTAAATATTCATCAAAGAAGTATTGTGTGTGTCTGGTTACAATACTCACAGAAGAACACAGCCAAGTATTGAGTGTCCTCCAGCATCACTTCCAACATGTTCCTATTGACCGTTTCTATCGTGTCCTCTGTCTTCTGCAGCACCAGCCACTGTAGTACGTCCTCCTCCGCCAGTAGGTCGCCTGAAACAAAAGCAGCGTTATATACAGTCACTGTGTAAACTGTAAGATATTGTTTATGGATATAGTATGTTGATTATGGTGAGAGAAAGAGGAAGGAAGGAATAAAGGAAGGAAGGAATAAAAGAAGGAAGGAAGGAAGGAAGGAATTAAGGAAGGAATTAAGAAAGGAAAGAAGGTAGGTGGAACATGGGAGGGAATTGGAAAGGTGGAGGGAGGGAGGGAGGAAAGATGCAGAAGGAAGGAAGGACAAGGAAAGAGGAAAGTAGGAGGGAGAAAGAGACCCATTGAGACACACCTCATTGGCAGGATTTCCACAACACCATCTATACTATTCAAAACCCCATGACAGCTTTCATCCCTTATCTCCCACCTGTACCTCTTCTAAATCAAGTCTCCATCACTCTTTATTTACACTGAGGACCTGTTCTTGAGGTATCTGATAAATCCTGTACCATAGAGGAAACTGTTTATTTTTATCTTTTTCAGGTGATGGATTTTAAAGGGAGTCAGAATACACAAGTAATACAGTATACAGACCTTCATACACAGTGGGTATTTGGTGCTCAAAGTAGAGTAGTGCTGGCAGGCTTGTGACACCATACCTCTCTGCCACCTTCATGTCCTGAGTCTTGACGAAGCTCACGCCGATACGGTCTGTGTCGTCGTCTATGTTCTCCAGCTCCTCCAACACCTTCTTGCATGTGGCACAGCTGGAGTCCTCAGTGTCTGTGGCACCATCAGGCAGTGAGAGAAGGCAATAGTTACCACCCTAATACAGGATTCACTTCAGCTAATAAATATGAGACTATGTATGGGTTATGTTCCTTTACGTTGGATATATTTACAATTTCCTTGACACACTACTTTTTACTTTTTTTACTTTTATCCTCTTCGCCACTGATCGGCTTGTTAGCCGCTTGGGCGATCGGTCACGTATCTTTTCCTAAATCAATTAAACAAAAGACTGTCTACAGGTCATATTCCTTCACACTTTGAGTAGCATACACGAAAGGTGGTGGGCTCGGCACTCATATGAAAAAGTTGATATATTATTCTTCTATGATCTATTGTATAAAATTACATTACGAAGACACAAATGTGTTGCATAAAACATAATAATTCACGGCATGTATACAGTGGGAATCACTGTGGTATATTTTTTCTTTGAATGTTGTTAATATTTTAGTGTAGTGACTGTAGATGATCTGTTTTATATGATGATGATGATGATGATGATATAACGCTTTCTTCTCCATGTAGTCGGTTAAAAAGACGTTTCACTATTCAATTTAGACGACAACACAAATAATTCCCCTGATGTAAATATTAAGGGAAAAATATTATCCATTTCACATATCTGCAGCAATGATTTATAGTCCATTCTCATGCTTATAACTTTATGCTAATGAGTAGTGGTGAAGAAAACAACAACAGGACATAAGTTAAGTTATTTAAGTAATGTGTAAGTTATATTTTATAGTTATTTTGATGTTGTTAGTTGGTTGTTGTGGTGTACAGTGGACCTTGTACTTTTCACTAACTGCTAACTCTTCACTGTTCCTATTTGCTATTCCACTGTAAATAATAACTGTTCATTTATCTAAACATAGAGAGATATTTAGATGTGTTAAATGTTTATATGACACAGATATATTGGGGTTGAAGAGTTAAAGGCATAAACATTGAAGTGGTAATATATGTTGAAGTTAAAGATGCAACACTGGCAATAGATTACTTGACAAAGACTCATTAATGATCACAGCTTGACAAAGACTTATTAAAAAGATCACAACATGACAACAAAGACTTAATAAAGATCACAACTTGACAAAGACTTATTAAGAGATCACAAGATTACAACAAAGACTTATTGAAAGATCACAGCTTGACAAAGACTTATTAAAAAGATCACAGCTTGACAAAGACTTATTAAAAAGATCACAATATTACAACAAAGACTTATTAAAAAGATCACAGCTTGACAAAGACTCACTTTTAAAAGCTCAAAATATCACAAAGACTTAACTCACTCAACACACAAGGCCTACAACAGCAACATCTACCATCAGCCAGCTTACTAAATACAGTACCATGCAACACTACTGCTTGCTCACTTGCTACCATACAAAAAGCAACAGCATCCTATTTCTACAGCTCACTTCACTAACAAAAAGCCAAAATCAACAATATTAGCCCCATTTAACTATATATATAAAGTACACATTAGTTACATATCCAATGGTGTGTTGTAGTTAATAGTGAGTAAATGAGACACAGGACTAAGTTATGGTGTAAGTTGGCCAAGCTGAGGCAGGCAGTGAGCAGGTGTACGAGTTAATGTTATTGTAGGAGTAATATTGTAGAGCGTCAGTAAATCTTTCAATGACCTGCTGCAAGGGAAGAACTTAGATCCATTTGTATTTACTGTAAAATTTGCATATGAGGATTAAAGTTCCCTGTAAGATGAGAAACTGATTGATATTGAAGTTTCTTAAAAGTTCTATGTTGTAGGAACTTCATGAATGATGTTTATTAACCAGTGACAATCAATAAAAAGTTCTGAAACTGATTAATATTCATAATTCTTAAAAGTTCTATGTTGTAGGAACTTTTGTTTTATGAATGGGGCCTTAATAACCCTGGCAATAAGAGGAGCTACAACACCAACAATAATTCTGCTCTAAGTTCTCACTCTCAGCGGGCGGTGGGGAAGGAATGTGGCCAGAGCAACACGTGTTTCCCTATACCACAAAAAAACATTATTATTATCTGCAGTTCCATGGAGTACCAAGGAAAGGGAAGGTCAGCAAAGGCGGGAATTTACATCTAGGGGTGAAAAAAATAAATGAAAATAGTAAATAAAAGACTATCACTTGAGTTTTCTCCAGGAACATCTGTCTGAGACTTCTTTTTTTTCTTCTTTTTCTTCTCTTTTTCAGCATTCGGGTCCTCACAGCCACAAGCGATTAAGTCATCTTCGTGGAGACAGTGACAAGTGAGTCGTGAATTGTCATAACACACTTATACTCCCTATAGACTAAGACAACACCTTATACTGTACACTCTCTCCAGGAAAGTATCTTCAAGGAGAGGATCGGTGAATTTCATAATGAACACTGTGACTCCTGTTGTCTCGGTAGGGTTGTCAGAAACCTTCGTCCGTTGTGTCATACAAAAGCCTGATGATACTTTGTGGAGCGAGCGTACACGTGATGAGAGAGACAAACAATAAAGGTGATAATTAAACGTATATCAACATAATAAACAAGAAATGAACGATGGGAACTAACTAACGCTCCCTAGACAACATCTTAAACTAAATGGGTGATGAGAAAGACAAACAGTAAAGAACATAATGAGAAAGAAATGAGAGATGGAAAAAACACTGAAAACGAGAGACCCACAAAGAAAGAATAAATCTGTAATAAGTAAATAAATTAAAAAAAGAAAGAAAAGCATAGATGGTAAGTCCCTCCAGAAGAACAACAGAAGACAAATCTCAGAAATACCTTAAATATATAACTATTGAAGCAGAAGAAAATACAGTAATCTTAACAAGCAATAACTACCTCTTTGCCCCATTAAATAACTATGTTTACTGGGCGGTACATATGTTTGAAAATCCTATCGAATAAAAGGGAATTCTCAATCATCTTAAATAATTGTCCATATCATAAAACAGTGTAATTTAAATGTATGTATTAAACCACGACATAAAACGTGACAAAAAATTCCAACAATAAATTTGGTGTCGTGTGAGAATGAAGAAAGACGAGAGAGAGAGAACCACTTTACAAGATGTGTTTGAAATAAGTCACTACGCCAGACCTGACATATCTACGCCCTAACTCAAGGTAAATAAAGATATAAATTCAACTCACAGAAGTACACAGCGATGGCATCGGAGTCTCGGATAACATGTAGGAGGGCAGCACCTTCCATATCCTCTATAAAATCTGCGGTAGGGTCTTTCTCCGTCAGTAGCCAGGACAGTAAGTTCTCCTCATTCTTCATGTCTCCTGCGGCCATCACCAAAAACAAATTAGCATCAGCCCAGATGAAGGTAAACATAGAAAAGTGATATGGATAAACACTTATATGAGGCAATGTACAGGGTGTCTCATAAGTCATGCATTATAAGGAATATACAAGGTGTCTCATAAGGTAATTACAGGGTGTCTCATAAGTCATGCGTCATAAGGAGTATACAGGGTGTCTCATAAGGAAATTACAGGGTGTTTCATAGGTCGTGCATCATGGGAAAATACAGGGTGTCTCATAAGGTAATTACAGGGTGTCTCATACGTCGTGCTTCAAAGGAATATACAGTCTCATAGGTTGTGCACCAAAGGGATACACTGGAGTGATGTAAAGGAACACTTGACGGGGTGATGGAACACTTTACTGGGTGCAGGAACATTTTACTGGATGCAGGAACATTTTACTGGATGCAGGAACATTTTACTGGATGCAGGAACACTTTACTGGATGCAGGAACACTTTACTGGATGCAGGAACAGTTTACTGGGTGCAGGAATACTTTACTGGATGCAGGAACACTTTACTGGATGCAGGAACACTTTACTGGATACAGGAACACTTTACAGGGTGAGGGAACACTTTACAGGGTGAGGGAACACTTTACTTGGTGCAGGAACATTTTAATCCACCTACCACCTTGGGGGGGTTGATTGTTGTCCAGGTTACGTCAAAAAAGAAGAAAAACGTAAATGAATTACTAAAGAATTCTAAGCATTTGTTATATAAGCTGTATATGAACTAAGCCTTTTCTATGGTTAAAGCTTAAATCTATGCTCTATACACTGCTGTAATTAAAGCTTAAATCTATTTTCTATACACTGCTATGGTTAAAGCTCATACATATCTTCTAAAGCTGAGTTTTTGCCGATATTAATACTATAATCAAAGCTTAAATTACTAACTAAGCTCATCTTCAAAGCATAAACACAACATTAACTTTTGTTAGAGTAAATTAACTATTACTAACTAGTGTACCATTGTTAAATTACTTTCTCAACTAGGAGTATTTTCACAGCTTAAATAATGTTTTGATTGGATCACCTGAAGCTTACTCCACCCAGCTTATTTTACCTGTAGATTTACCACCCTAATGCCTACCTGTGGGTTAGGGTAGGGTAGGGTAGATTGCCCTTGCCCCTTTACTATTACCATTTACTATTATCCTCCACTACTGCCCCCTCCAAAATTGCCCTTCATTGGCCACCACTACTGCCCTTCACTAGTCCCCCTAAACTATTGCTCTTCACTACTCCCCCTAAACTACTGCCCTTCACTAGTCCCCCTATACTATTGCCCATCACTACTACCCCTAAACTATTGCCCTTCACTACTGCCCACGTACCAGCATAGATAATGGGGTCTTCGGTGCCAGCTCTGTAGAAGACAATGGCTGGCAGAGCATAAACACCGACCTCCTTTGCCAGCTGTGAGTCATCAATCTTCACAAAGTCGATGCCATTGGCGTCAGCTTCATCATCAATGTTCTCCAGTTCGGCCAACACCTTCTGACACTGCTTGCAACCTTCCTCAGCATCTGTCAGCAAATGTCAGCCAGTAAATGAGGAGAAATCTGATGGAGTTTAGAACATAATCTCTGGGATTCTATTTACTGCTGCTACCTGGTCTGCTACTATTGATACTGTACTATTAATACTACTACTACTGCTACCACCTGTACTACTCCTATTGCAAAGTACTACTACTACTACTACCACTTCCCATACTTCTATTACTACAGTACTATTTCTAATATTATCACTACTACTACTATTACAGATACTACTACTACTAATAACACTCATAGAAAACACCGAAGGAATCAGGACTAACTATAGTAATCAGTACAACATAGAGACAAAGCCCAAATTCTCCATTGATCGGTACAAAAATTTACAGAAAAAGAAACAACAGCAAGAATACAGTTACAGAAGACATTTTTACTAAACTTACAGAAAAATACAGCCAGATAATCCGTAGATTGTTTAATTCTTTCAAACATCTTGCGGTTGACCTTCTCAATGGCGTCGTTCAGTTCCATATTCTCAGGAGCTGTGAGCCAATCCAACACGTCCTCCTCATCATACAGATCACCTGAAGAATGATTGGTCATGAGATAAGTGAATACTGAGATGTGATTGGTGGGTGAGAGTATAGATTATATGATTGGTTGGTAAGAATAGAAACCAAGAAGTGATTGGCTAGTAGGGTACCAATCAGTAGATCAGAAGACAATAATCACATATACACACCACTTACCATCATACTTAATATGTTTGGCCTTCCTGAAGTAGACAAGGCCGGGGGGGTTCCTGTAGCCGTATTTTTTAGCCATAAGACGATCATTCATCTTTACCATCTGAATACCGTACTCTGCAGCCTCGTCATCGATCTTCTCCAACACCCGCAGAACCTTCGGGCATTCGTCGTTCTCCTCATTGACTTTTATCGTTCAAGAGGCGACGCAGAGGTGAAGAGAGGGGGTAAAATAAATAATAAAATGATTAAAGAAAATGTGGGTTTGCTTAATAATTAGGAGTAACTATGCTAATTTGGGTATGGTAGCAAAGGAAAATACGATTCACTTGATATAGGTTACCTGATAAAAAGTCAACCCCTTAGTTTATTTCACTTGATTAAACACCCTAATCTTCAAGTCAGACAGGGTTAGTGGCTAATCATCTTAAGTTAATCTGAAAACAAAAAATGTGTTGTTGACTCACAGAAGTAAACAGCGAGGTAGTCCTGGGTGTCGATGAGGGTGTACAGCATCTGGCGGTTGATGTTCTCGATGGTGTCTTCGTGCCGCTGTTCGATCAACCACTGCAGTACCTCCTCCTCCGCCTGGATGTCACCTACACACACACACACACACAGACACACAAACACAGATCAGTATTATGGTCAGTGTGGCCTCGGTTCCTGTCAATGTTTACTACCACTGAGGAACCCCGAGGCCTTACTCCCCTGAAAATTGTGACCAGATAACTCGTTTACCTGTCAGCCATTAAATAAGTTTCATTTCCGGATACATAAAGAAAATAAGGATAAAGAAACTAATTACTTAACTATATTATCAGATTCGGTAATGGCTTAATGGGATTCGTCTATTTCTTCTATTTTTAAAGATCATTTCTGTTAAAGCAACATAAAAGTTATTTATTATGGTGTAGTTTCTAATCAAACAAGTTCCAATATTACACAAGAAAACATACTCAGAAAATTTATACTAAAAATCTTCCTAGAACTTTCTTCCTAAATACAAATTCATCGGAAAAAATTAATTAAATGTTTATACAGAATATTTAAATGTGGGTCATTATCTTACTATGACAGTATCAATAACACAGTGGATATCAATGATAACAAGCTCATTATTAATTGAAAACAAAGATTTTTTTCACATCTCTTCTCTTATTCTTTCAAACAATTTATCTAAACTTTTGAACTGACAGTACCTAGTCATCCTAAAAGACTGTTTGCTCACGGACGTTAAATTTTCTTAATGACGTAAGGCAAGCCGCCATAGTTACAACTCACGGCATTGTTCTGGTGAATTTTGAGCACAAGAATCCTTTTAGAAGTTAGTGTCGTAGGATCAATAGACGGCAGCAACACAGACTCCACGGCTATCAGTAAACAGTATGGAATTAGCGGCAGGAAGCAAGTTCAACGGTCAACATTAACACAACCTCAACAGTTAGTGAGGAAAGAAAGGGTCAGTGCTTGTCGACACTCCAATGTGGGCACACCAACAAGCCTTTGGCCTCATCAACAAGTCTTTGGCTTCATCAAAAAGTCTGTGACCACACCAACAAGCCTGTGGCCATACCAACAAGCCTGTGGACACACCAACAAGTCTGTGACCACACCAACAAGCCTGTGGCCACACCAACAAGCCTGTGGCCTCATTCATCAACCAGCCTTTATCAAGGCGTTGTTTTCTTGTAAACAGAATCATGCACCAAACACAGTCCACACATGCACTCCTACCCCCCCCCCTTCCCAGACTCATGCATCAACAACATCATTTAACCATCGTTAGCAACATAGCATTAAACAATAGTTACAGAATAATCCAGTTAAAAACACAAACATCAATGTCTACTCCAAATGTCGTGTGATTGATGCAAATTAAGTAGACAGGAAATAAAAACAACAGACAATCTATAAGACAAAAACAACATATGTGTCAAAGAAAACGTTTGTAAGTATTAAGGATATTAAAGCTGATACCATGGGTGGTGGTGGTGCTTATAGTACTGGTGATACTGACTGGTTGATAACTGGTTAATGGTGATACTGACTGGTTATTGGTGTTATATTAATGGGGATACTAACAGGTTAAAGATAATACTAACTGGTTACTGGTGATACTAACTGGTTAATGACGATACTAACTGGTTACTGCTGACTGGGAGAACCGTATATATGTCACCCTAGAGAAAGTCAACTCCAGAGGTCATGTTAAAGTAGAATTTAACCAATCTATCAACACTACTCCAAGCTATTCTATTCTCTACACAGGATGAAGATAATGTGCTGACACTGGACTACCTCAATAGACCCTACATCTATCTATTACCCGGTAAAATAGATAAATGGTCTATTATCTACACAAAGAGCCATCTATTGTTTTAGTTGCTGGATTTTGTTAGTTAATGAAGCAAGGGCGTTGGTCGAGTCCCGAGTGGTAGGTGTGTTTAGTGGCGCCAAAGGTGATGTATGTGTGTGTGTGTATATGTATGTATGTATGTATGTGTGTGTGTGTGTGTATATGTATGTATGTATGTATGCATGTGTGTGTGTGTGTGTATATGTATGTATGTATGCATGTGTGTGTGTGTGTGTTTTACATCTTTAGGCACAAAAATTAGTTATGTCAATTGTAAAAACACGCACATACATACATACAATGATTTATAAGTCTACACACATACACCTTTACCCCACTAAACTGTTTATACTTTACAATAATACAAGCGGACATGACAGCACTAATCAAAACACCTACAGTACAGTACTTAAAAAATAAAAGTGAAAAAATGCAAAAAAAAAATCAAATTAGATAAAACAATGAGCTTTTCATTCATACACTCAGCCTCCCTTACTGTCATCATCATCATCATCTTCTGCATTGTCATCCTCAGCTGCAACTTCATCATCTTCATTATTATAATCACTAGCTTCATTGCCATCATCATCATCATTGTCAGCTGCAACTTCATCATCATCATTGTCAGCTGCAACTTCATCATCATCATCACCGTCATCATCATCAGCTGCAACTTCATCATCGTCATCATCATCATCATTGTCTTCATCATCATCAGCTGCAACTTCATCATCATCATCATTGTCTTCATCATCATCATCATTGTCTTCATCGTCATCATCATCAGCTGCAACTTCATCATCGTCATCATCATTGTCTTCATCATCATCATCGTCATCATCGTCATCATCATTGTCATCATCATCATCATCATCATCATTGTCTTCATCATCGTCATCATCATCAGCTGCAACTTCATCATGCATCACTTCATCATCATCAGCTGCAACTTCATCATCGTCATCATCATCATTGTTTCATCATCATCGTCATCATCATCATTGTCTTCATCGTCATCATCGTCATCATTCATCATCATTGTCTTCATCGTCATCATCAGCTGCAACTCATCATCATCGTCATCATCATCATTGTCTCATCATCATCATCGTCATCATCATCAGCTGCATCATCTTCATCATCATCATTGTCATCATCATCATCGTCATCATCATCAGCTGCAACTTCACCATCATCATCATCATCATCTTCATCATCATCATTGTCATCATCATCATCGTCATCATCATCATCTTCATCATCATCATTGTCATCATCATCATCGTCATCATCATCAGCTGCAACTTCATCATCATCATCGTCATCTTCATCATAAATATCATTGTCTCCATCTTCATCATCATCAGCTTCATCATCATCGTCATCATGGTCTTCATCATCATCTTCATCAACATCATTGTCTTCATCTTCATCATCGTCATCATCATCATCATCATCTTCATCATCATCATCATTGTCTTCATCATCATCATCATCTTCATCATCATCATTGTCTTCATCATCATCATCGTCATCATCATCATCGTCATCGTCATCATCATCATCAGCTGCAACTTTATCATCATCATCATCGTCATCATCGTCATCATTATCATCATCAGCTTCATCATCATCAGCTGCAACTTCATCATCATCATCATCGTCATCATTATCATCATCATCATCATCAGCTGCAACTTTATCATCATCATCGTCATCATTATCATCATCAGCTTCATCATCATCAGCTGCAATTTCCTCATCATCGTCTTCATCATCATCATCAACATCTTCACCATTATTATCATTATGGTCAGTTTCATCATCATCATCTTCATTATCCCCACCATCCCCATCATTATCACCCTCATCATTCTCACCTGCATCGTCTTCACCATCTACCCCCATCAGATGCCTCATGTTAATGGCAATCACTGGACTTTCTACCAATCCTGAAAAATTACCACGACCGGATATATATCACTTTAGCCTTGTTAACCTGGTGATACAAGATGTCCTCTGTGCTGTTATCTTAAGGTAACTTTAAGAAACATTGATAACTAAGTACAGTTATCGATGGCTGCCGGGAGAGACTGGTTCCGAGACAAGACTGGCCAACTATAATAGGGTCATGGCCAACAATTAGTCATGGCCATTTATAAGTTATGAAAAACGATAAGAGATTTATGATAGTTATTTATAAGTCTTGGGTATTTACAAGTCCTGGCCAATGATAGCCTTCATGGCCAACAACAATACAGCTGTAGATTCATGGCCAACTACAACAGACCCACAGAGTTGCATTATACGTCACGCCATCCAAATTACCTTCAAGAAATTAACCAGAATCTGTGTTGAAAATTTTGAACTCATAATAAAATTAACAGAAACAGTACATTAGTCAACAGGTGTTTATGGTCAGCTGTGGTTAGCAGACAAGAGGCTAACAGATCTTCTTACCTTTGTCTTCCTTAGTGTTGTAACAGATCCTTGTGACTGAGTGTATTAGTTAAGCTCATCCCAACACTTCCCTAACATACGGTACAGTTTATCAGTCACACTAACTTTTTCCCCAAATTCTAAAAAAAAAAAAAAAAAAAATTCTAGAATATTTTTCCCCTTTGAGGTCAATTTTTTTTTTAATTTGGATTATTTGAAAAATTGTCTCTACTTTTTAATTCACCTGAAGATTCATTAACCATCTTTATGTCTCCTGGAAAGGGGGTAGGGTAGGGTAGGGTAGGGTAGGCTAACATCAGAGTGGTTTAACCTTCAGATGAGAAAAACTTACTTAACCTAACCTTAAACACCCCTTCTAACTTACAACCACAACTACCACCCCAGCTCTGTACCTACAACCACAACTACCACCCCAGCTCTGTACCTACAACCACAACTACCACCCCAATTCTGTACCTACAACCACAACTACCACCCCAACTACCACCTCTGTACCTACAACCACAACTACCACCCCAGTTCTGTACCTACAACCACAACTACCAACCACTGCCACACCCCTCACCACAAATACCTGCTAAGTGCCCAAAAGATGTACCTTTATTCTCAAAATACACTATACTTCAGTACATACAACAATACACAACTAGGTCGTCCAAACAGCGTGTATAACATCAGCCCAATACAGAGGACACCTTGTATAGTCCTTAAGCAGTAATTATATTTGATCATTTTCTTAAGATGTTGGAGGGAATCTTGTCTCTCTTGACCAGCTCCTCACCTCCACCTGTCCACGCTGTTATCACGGATCAACTGATATCTGATGATGCCACATTCAAGAGTTACTCTAGCATGCGGTAATATCCTAAATATATCAGTTATCATTTACTTGTAACTATTAATGGTGTGGGAGGTGTAGGAGAGGAGGAGGCCCCCGTGAGACAGGTCCTTCCTGCTGGAGAAGTTACAACAAGAAAACTCTGCTTACGTGTCTCTGCAATAAGCCATGAATACACCTCCTGATCCCCTGCCAGGTCACCTGAGGATGTAACAGATGTGACCTAATGAAGAGCACAGTTCAGGTGTCAGGTCAGAGGGTCGTTCCTTGGCGGGTATGACGCCCTGACCCGCACACAACCCTACGTGTGGTAAGTCTTCAGTTTAATAGTAGATAAAACACTATCATAATTATAAAACTTCTCACAGGAACACAGAAAAAACAAACATCTTTTCTGGTAAAGTTTTGTTTACTTTTTACACAAATGTTATGGACAAAAGTCAAACATTAGCAACTATATCTACCGGTGGATAATAAAAGCCCTATCATGATGATGTTGTCTAAGCTAAGCCAATAAAACTACGACATTATTATTAGCATGCTCTTAAGCTCCGGGAGTTGGGGAATTTAAAGAAAAAAAAACAACAACATTAAAATTTCAACCTATTTCTATATTAGTTTTAAGCAAAGGGGGAAAACACTTATGATTACAGGTGTTTTAACACTATAAAAAGCTTCCTTAACCAGAAGATATTAGACTTAACTCGTTACAGCTGACGCCACAACAAGAACTATAGCTTATAATACTATATTTAAGTTTAGATTATTAATCCTTTTTTCTGTCCAGTATTGACCTGAAGTTACAATACCACAGTCCATATATTTACCGTCATAGATGCTGGGTACGCCACCCTCAAAGTACACAAGGGCGGGTAGGTGACTGATGCCAAGATCCTCTGCCACTTCTACGTCATTGGTCTTGACGAACTGGATGCCCACCTCGTCCGTCTCATCATCAATCGTCTCCAATTCGGCCAAGACCGTCTCACAGGTAGGGCAGTTATCATCATCTGGGGAGTAAATAACATGAGTATAAAATATCCTCCTACCTGGAATAACGTGATGACTTGGTTAGGTTAGATTATCTATTCTCCTTATCTCCTCAACTGTTCTCTCAATTTATCTCTCTCTCTTGATCCAACACACTTGTCACACTATATTGTATACCTATGCAGTCTATGTACAGTGGCCCCCAGGTGAAATGTTACCCTACCGTACCACCATCGTACTACTCGAGTGGCCAGGGAAAAATCAGTAATAAGACATTGCCGCTCAAGCCAGGGAGGTACGATAGAGCTTAACATCATACCTATATACAATTGTACATGCTGAATCTAAGTGAACTTGTATGGGATTTTATGATCTATCTATCTATCAAATGTTTATTATTATTCACCACATTCCTCTCACTTCTAACCCTTCACCTCTCAGGCCCAACACTTACAGAAGTACACCACCAGGTACTCAAATGTGTCCACGAGATTCTGCAACATCTGGCCGTCCACTTCCTCGATGATGGAGGCCGGGCCCTTGTCCTTATTGTCGATCAGCCATTCCAGAAGGGCCTCCTCATCCTTCAGGTCACCTACACGAGAAAGAGTTGGAGGAGGAGCTTCTCAATGAGGAGTATCACTTGAAGAATGAGAGTTAGTGAATCAATATACGTATCTTGTGTCAAGGTTAAGTGTGTGTGTGTGTGTGTAAAGAAAACATTCACAGTATAGACAACCTCACCCCCCCCCCCACGTCCCCCTAGGAAAAAAAACACAAGAGAATATAAACAAGAAAACAAAAGAACATCAACCTACCTTCATAGATCTGAGGGAACCTATTTCTGAAGTAGACGAGAGCTGGCAGACTCACGATATCATATTCTTGTGCTATCCCGTCATCGGATATCTTCACAAAGTCAATACCGATATCATCACACTCATCGTCAATATTCTCAAGCTCTGTTAATATTTTCCGACTCTTCTTGTCATTCTCAGTATCTAGAGGTAACAAGAGGGAGTAAATATGTTATTCTGTGATTACTTTATAACTATTGTTTTTATACCTAGAGTATACATTCACAAACCCAACATTCCTATAAGATATCAACATTCTCAACCCCAACACACACAAGATATCAACATCCACAGCCCCAACATTCCCATAAGATATCAACATCCACAACACCACACTCCTACTCACAGAAGAAGACTGCCACATTGTCCGAGGTGTTCAATATCCTCTCCAGCATTCGTTGGTTGACCTCCTCGATCTGGTTAGGTATCTCCAATGTGTCTTCAGCTGTCAGCCACTGGAGCACAGCATCCTCGTCGCTTATCTCACCTGGGATAGGAAGTGATTTAGTCAAGTAAGGTTGAAAGTATGTTAGGCAATTAGCAGAGAGGGACTGGATATATACTTTTAACCTTTTGAGTTCTGGAGGGTTAAATCACCTGTCCTCAAAGGGTTAAATCATCTGTCCTCAAAGGGTTAAACCATCATCCTCATATGGTTTAATTATCATCATAAGGGTTAAACCATCATCCTCAAAGAGTTAAAACATCATTCTCAAAGGGTTGAACTATTGTCCTTAAAGGGTTAACTAGAATTTTATGCGTACAGTATTTGGATGGGTATGTATGGTGTATTATTGTGTGTATATAGTGTATGTATTGATGTGTTGTTTAGGTATAGTGTGCATATAGCTGAACCATTTCTGTATGTTCTTTGTATAGCTGTGCTGTCAAAGAACATTGTTTGTATACCTACTCTCTCTCTCTCTCTTTCTTTCTCTCACATATTTCCTCCCTCCTCCCTGTAGTATCTCTTGAACATTGTCCCCCCACTTCCTCCCTAAGAGACGTATAAACAATGGGCTATAAATTCAAGGACTGGATATCCGGGTACACTCTTAATTCCAGGTTGAAGTCGGATATACCCTTCTCCTTCTCTTCATTCTCCTCCTTCTCTTCTTGTTCCCCCTCTACACATCTTTACCCCTTCTTCCTTCTCTTCTTCTTACCCTTGAATCTCTTCCCCTCCTCTTTATCTACCTATCTTAAGCTTTTCTGTGTATGTGTGTGTGACTGCGTGTGTCTCTCTCCTCTCTCTCACACACACACACTCCTTACCCTTATAAAACACAGGATCGCCATTCCTAAACAGCACCAGGGCCGGGAAGACTTTGATGCCGTGTTCGTGGGCTAAGGTCGTCTCCTCCGTAGTGACGAAATGCATCCCGTGTTCGTCTGTGTCATCATCAATATTCTCCAACTCATTCAGGATCCTGTCACACTTCTGGCCCTGGTCACACTTGCCACCTGAAGAAGGGAGAGGGATCAGTCTATTTTACCTGAAGAAGGGAGAGTGATTTTAGTCTATTTTACCTGAAGAAGGAGTTATAAGTTTATTTTACCTGAAGGAGAGAGTAATTAATCTAATTTATCAGAAGAAGGGAGAATGATTAATTTATTTCACACACACTAACTTGATCTAACCTCACCTGACCTAACACACGCCCATAAGTCACTACTCACTGAAGTACACTACAACATATTCAAAGTTGGCGATCAGGTCGTCCAGGATCTCATCTGTGACTTCCTCGATGGTGTCGGTGTTCTTCTGCTTCAACAGCCAGGCCAATACCTCCTGCTCGTTGGATAGGTCTCCTGTAATAGCCAGAGGAGAGGCTGTGGTAAGACGGGGTTAGGTTAGATTTAGTTTGTGTTGTGTTAGGATAGGTTAGATTATGTTGAGATAGATTTGATTAGTAATAGGGTGGTTAATCTTAAGGTGAAATAATTCATGGTTTCTAATCACCAAGGTCAACCAAGCCACCACAATCACACCACCATAACCCCTGGCCCTCCTCACCTTCGTAAATACTCGGTATCCTATTCTCGAAGTAAACGAGCGTCGGGAGGTCTTCAATACCATACTCCTTGGCTTCCGCGTCATTATCGATCTTCACAAAGGGGACGCCAGCTTGTTCACAGTCATCGTCGATACTCTCCAGCTCGGCCAATACCTCGTGGTCTTCTGCGTCGTCCTTGTCGTCTACAGGAGAGAAAATCGAAGGTGTCAGAAATTGAAAATGAGATCTAGTTAGTCTTTACATACTGACCTCTTAGTCTCTTTATTGTGGAAATTTCAGACTCAGCCCCAAATCGGCCCCGACCAGCAATATGACGTATGGTTTTGCGATTGAATAATGTAGTAGTAGTAGAGTCTGTTGAAGCAAATTTCAGCTAATGTAATAACACACTCACAGATCATCAATAACACACTTACACTCAAGCCATCAACAACACACTCATATAACACACTCACAGACCATCAATAACACACACATACTCACTCTCACATCAATAACACACTCACAGAACAGGACGGCGAGGAAGGGTTCGTTGATGATGAGTTTGTCCAGCATCTCATCAGTAATGTCAGCTATCTCCTCGTGCTCTACATGATGGATCAGCCACGCCAGTACCTCCTCCTCCTTCATTAAGTCACCTGAAACCAACAATGGACTGTGTAAATGAACCCATCTTGACCTAACCTTACCTAACCTAACCATAACTAACCAAATCTAGTCTAACTTAATGTAACCTAATGTAACATAGCCTAATCCAACCAAACCTAGACTAATCTAATCTAACTAAACATAACCCAATGCTAATGCTGACCTAACCTAACCCTTCAGATACCATTAATGTGGTTAATCTTCAGCAAATTTACTGAATGTATCTCTAGTAAGTCTCTCACTATCTCACTATATCTAAAAAAATGTATCTCACTATCTCCCACCTTCAAAAAAGTCTCTCACTACCTCACCTTCAAAAAAGTCTCTCAGTACCTCACCTTCAAAGATGTAGGGTATCTCACTCTCAAAGTACACCAGGGTGGGGATCCTGTCAATGCCATACTCCTTCGCCTCCTCGTAGTTATCTATCTTCACGAAGTAGATCCCCCGGGTGTCACATTCATCGTCGATGTTCTCAAGTTCTGCCAACACCTTCCTGCTGCGGCGACTGTCCTTGTCATCTGGAATATATACAATGATGAAGATGATGATGATGATGATGATAATGAAGGTGATAATAATGAAGAGAATAATAAAAATAATGATGATATTTACAAGACAAGAAACACTTGTTCTTCAATAACACTTACAGAAGAGAACGGCCAGATGTTCACTCCGGTCGATCAATCTGTCCAGCATCTCGTCCGTAACGTCTTCAATCTCGTCGTCATCGACTTGATGCACCAGCCAGTCAAGTACCTCATCCTCGGCCAACAAGTTACCTACAACATCAAGAAGGACATGTGAGTTACCTACAACATCAAGAAGGACATGTGAGTTACCTACAACATCGAGGAGGACATGTGAGTTACCTACAACATCAAGACGGACATGTGAGTTACCTACAACATCGAGGAGGACATGTGAGTTACCTACATCAAGGAGGACATGTGAGTTACCTACAACATCAAGAAGGACATGTGAGTTACCTACAACATCGAGGAGGACATGAGACATCAAGGAGGACATGAGTTACCTACAACATCAAGGAGGACATGTGAGTTACCTACAACATCGAGGAGGACATGTGAGTTAAACATCAAGGAGGACATGTGAGTTACCTACAACATCAAGGAGGACATGTGAGTTACCTGCAACATCAAGGAGGACATGTGAGTTACCTACATCAAGGAGGACATGTGAGTTACCTGCAACATCAAGGAGGACATGTGAGTTACCTACAACATCAAGGAGGACATGTGAGTTACCTACAACATCAAGGAGGACATGTGAGTTACCTACAACATCAAGGAGGACATGTGAGTTACCTACAACATCAAGGAGGGCATGTGAGTTACCTGCAACATCAAGGAGGACATGTGAGTTACCTACAACATCAAGGAGGACATGTGAGTTACCTACAACATCGAGGAGGACATGTGAGTTACCTACAACATCAAGGAGGACATGTGAGTTACCTACAACACCTCTCAATGTACATAAACAACTCTGTACACTGCAGTAATTAACCGATGTACTTATCCACCTCTATATCCACCTGTGTACAGTAAACTGCCTTACCTGAGTACACAGATGGGATGCCCTTCTCAAAGTACACCAGGGTAGGTAGGGTGTCTATGCCATACTCCTTGGCTTCATCATCGTTGTCAATCTTCACGAAGGAGACGCCCTTAGAGTCACACTCATCATCGATATTCTCCAGCTCGTTTACCACCAGCTGGGAGTCTTGGTCGTCCTCGTCATCTGTGAGCAGGAAGAAGATGATGACATAAACGATGTGTATAGAAGGTCAATAATAATCAAAAGAGAAAGATATATTATAGAAATATCTTGAACAGTGAGGGTTGATAGTGAGTAATATATTGGCCCCTCTCCCTCCATACATGTGCCTATTATTAACAGTGGCACTAAAATAAAACTAATATAACACTATGACAGCACTAAAATAACACTATGATAGCACTAAAATAACACTAATATGGCAAAATATATCCCTAATATGGCAACTATTAACTGCACCAATCAAGCTCCAACTCACAGAAGAGGACAGCCAGGTGGTTGGACTCGCGGATGAGTTTGTCCAGCATCTCGTCGGTAATGTCCTCAATCTCATCCGTGTGAAGCTGTTGGATGAGCCAGGCGAGGACCTCATCTTCGTTATGCAAGTCACCGTCGTACAGGGAAGGGATCTGGGGGGGTGGCACATGCTAGTATAGGGCAGCAGGTATATGTGGGGGGTGAGAGGGCAGGAGGGCACATATGGAACACAGGGACATCTTTTTAAATGCTTGGGGTAGGTGTAAATTAGCCCTGCCATTCCTCTAGTTTATTTTTCACCACCAGATGATTCAACACCCTAACTAAACCTTTAAATGAATTCTAATCTAATGTAACTTAACCTAAATCAAACCTATTTTAACCTAGCCTAACTAGACCAAACTTAACTTAAACCTAATCTAACCTACCCTACCTCCCCCCCCCCCAGGTAGTGTTCGAGTGTTTAATCATCAGGTGAAAAATATTGGGGGCCAATCTTCAGGTGTTTTACATTATTTTTGGACGATATTTTCTGTTTCATCTTAAGAGTACAGTTAAATTAAGGGACATTTTGACTTACAAGAAATATTCATCCATACAAGCTTTTAACAGAAACCTTGTCTGACAGATAGATAGAAAGTTTAATAAATACACAGACAGATAAATAGATAGATATAGTTAGATATATTAGACAGAAAGATTGATAGATAGATGGGCAGAAAGAGACAGACAGATAGATAAAAAGACAGTTATCCAAAAAAATAATCATAAAAATTTACACTGACTCATTATACACACACAGACACTGCAAGTTACACTGAATTCAACTCTTCTATTCTGAATTAACTTTATCTGTTCAGTATAACTATTACAAGAGAATGCTATAGAGATTTTTGATAATAGCGGGAATAAAGGTCGAAAGGAAATAATTATACTGTACTGAAAATTAATTAAAATAATCCATACTGATGTGAATTTCTTAAACATATTAGTTATTTTTATAATATTTATTTATTTATGTGATTTATATTATTGGTCATCAATTAATTATTATTACAGGTATAATTCTCATTATTATTACTTACTACAACTACTACCTACTACTAGTAATATATTTTGGTATACTAAAGTACTATGCATACTCATGTCTCCAACACTTATATGGTCTACTTCGAAAATATACTTTTTGTTCAGAATACTTAACACTATTACTTTATAGAAGCAAATATCTTCACTAGAGAGGAGTGAAAGTGATACAGGAACTATCAGGTTGGGGACATGACTTATGGTTGTACTTATTAATATACTTATTGTTGCAACTATGAGAAGTGCAACAGCCAGAACATAAGTGTTGCACATGACAGAGAAATGAACACACAGAAAGTGATATCCCCATTAGCCAGAACGATTGGTGCAGAGCACTTCCGGGAATGAGAGATTTCTGAGTAGAGAGACGACTCTCTCAATGCCAGAAAGAAATTCCCCATCCCTGGAATTTTCTGGGTACAGGGAAAATTTTCTCGGAATTTTCCAGAATATGTGCCCCTTGGAAAATCGCTCCCAAACCCGGAATTTTCTGTAAAATTCAGAACAAATTTCAATTCTGGCTGTCGGAGAGTTCCGGTTAAGAGGGATTCTGACTACCAGATATATCACTGTACTGTAATTGATGATATGTATGAGCTTTTGTAACTTCATTGTCGAAAAAGGTTACAACTGCTTCATTAACTTCAATATCAATAAGGGTTACAGCTGCCTTATTAAATATTTCAAGAAGGTTATAGCTGCCTTATTAAATATTTCAAGAAGGTTACAGCTTCCTTATTAACTTCAATATTAAAGGTTACAGTTGCTTCTCGGTCCTGTATGAAGCAGAGGGGTGAGTAACTAAAGGGGGTGGTGATTGAAGTACCCAATTTGTTGAGGCCACATTCGGTATCTAGTGAAAGAAGAGGAGGCAACTTGGTTAATCTTCACCTAAGATGGTTGGTATTAATAAACTATGGTTTACTAATACTACTGCACTGTACCTGCCTCAACCCGGACCCTCCTGACCAAGTTTATTCTAACCTAAACTAAACATAACTAAACATAACCCAAGCTAAACCTAACGTAATCTAACCTGTTCTGGCCTGACCTAACCTACACCTAATGTAATCTAACTTAACCTAATGTATTCTAACCTAGCTTGACATAACGTATCCTAATTTAACTTAACCTAACTTTAAGCAGTGTAACATAATGTAACGTAACCCCAACCTAACCAATCTCTAATGAAACATAACATAACTAACCTCAAACATGATGCAACCTAACCTACTCTTTAACACAACCTACCCTAACCTAACACAACCTACCCAAACTTGAACCAACTTTAACCTAACCTACCTCTACCGAAACAAACCTTAACCTAGTCTAGTCATGGGTCCGAGTCTTGGGGAGGAGAGGGATCTGGATTGCACCCCACCAATAAAATACTGTACCACTAAACTAAGAATTAAACACGAAGGAACTTCTACTAATTTCAGCATCTTGTAAAGTGAGTCAAGTGTACAATTACGGAAAAAAAAGTTGTCAGTGTTCCGCCCCATGCACGAACCCTGTGACTACTGAACCAGTGAATCCGAAGCTCATCTGTGAACCCTGAGACTCATAAACCCGTGAATCTGAACCCCCATCCATGAATCCTGATAATCGTGAACCTCTGAATCCGAGACACGACACAGTGTTCCGTCTATGGACCTAACAATATGTGATGTCTCAGATTCACAGGTTTGCGAGTCTCAAGGTTCATGGAAGGGGTTCAGATCCACAAGTTCATGAATTTCAGAGTTCACGGATGATGTTCGGATTCACAAGTTCACGAGTCTCAGGGTTCGCAGATGAGGTTCGAATTTACAGGTTTATAAATGCGGTTCAGATTCACAGGTTCATGAATCTCAGGGTTCATTGAAGCACTGACAGGATTATTTTTCTGTGATTGGACAAAACTATGAGTATACAGTCTCTCCTCAACTTACGACAACCCGGACAAACGACGGCCATGGTCGTATAAAATATTTTTCACATTACGCATTTTCGAGTCCCGACGTTAGTGATCGCGCTGTGTACTGACAAATTTCTTTTTTGTAATTCCCTTTAAAATGGCTGGCAAACGTAAAAGTAAGAGTTCTCGTGGTGCTGAGAAAAAAAAAGAGACCCATTTTAGAATTTCTATGTATTACTTTCGCCTTTTCGACTTACGACTTGGTCGTCGGGACGGAACCCCGTCGTAAGTCGAGGAGAGACTGCATTATAAAATTAGTTGACATAATAGGGACATAAATGAATAATCTTTCTACTACTAAAGAAGAATCGATCAAAGTAAGATGATGTATCTAAGTATTTTAAGTATGCTAGGCAAGCTACTTTTACTATTTATAAGTGAGGTTTATTATAATGACTAGACTTAGCAAGTTATTTGGCATCATGTGAAGATTAGCCCCCAGTTTATTGTATTATATGGTTGAACACCATAATCTGACCTGACCTAACTTAAACTGACTTATCTAACCTAATGAAATGTAACATAACCAAACAAGATATTGCAAACCTAACTCAACCTAACAAAACCAAACTTACCCTAACCTAACCAATCATCCCTCAGTAGCACTAAGGCATAAAAATCATGCAATAAAATAACCTGTGTTGGCTAATCCTCACATAATTCACTTTTTTCCATTCAAACCAGACATCAACAACAGCAAATGTGTGAGTGAGTGAGTGTGTGTGTGTGTCACGTTCTAAACTGACCTCGTTCTCAAAGTAGACGAGGGAAGGTGTGTCCTCGATGCCGTACTCGCGAGACGCCACGTCATCGGCGATCTTGACAATGTGGATTCCTTGGGCGTCTAATTCATCGTCGATATTCTCCAGTTCTTGAAGGATTTGTGTGTCATCAGACTCATCACGGTCATCTGTGGGGAGGATGAGTGTTATCTGTGTGACCAATTAAGTGGTACCTATTGTTACAGTGACTTAAGGAACACTAGGGCCAAGTGGACAAGTGACTTACAGAATACGACGGCCAATCAAGTGACCTGCAGAACCCAATGGCCAAGTGCATAAGTGACTTACAGAATACGACGGCCAATCAAGTGACTTACAGAACACGACGGCCAAGTGGTCAAGTGACTTACAGAACACGACGGCCAAGTGGTCAAGTGACTTACAGAACACGACGGCCAAGTGGTCAAGTGACTTACAGAACACGACGGCCAAGTGGTCAAGTGAGTCAATGAGGGTGTTCAAGAGGCCAAGGGTGACGTCATCGATTACATCATCATCGTCTCCGGTGTTCTTGTTCTCCACCAGCCATTCCAGAACCTTGTCTTCGTTCATCAGGTCGCCTGGAGAACACACACACTCATGTTAGTAAGTTCATCTTTGGTGCACACACACACACACACACACGTACACTATGACACTTACGCCCACGACCACACCTTTACACATTACCACACTCTGTCTGTCTTCCGTTCCTCTTCCTTCCCTCCCCTTCCTCACTCTCACTTCCTTCCCTTCCCCTCTTCTCTCTCTCTCTTCCCTCTTCAACTCCCTTTCCCTCTTCTCTCTCGCTCTTCCCTCTTCAACTCCCTTCCCCTCTTCTCTCTCGCTCTTCCCTCTTCAACTCCCTTCCCCTCTCTCTCTCTCTCCCCTCTTCAACTCTCTCTCTCTCTTCCCTCTTCAACTCTTCGCTCTTCCCTCTTCAACTCCCTTCCCCTCTTCTCTCTCGCTCTTCCCTCTTCAACTCCCTTCCCCTCTTCTCTCTCTCTCTCCCCTCTTCAACTCCCTTCCCCTCTTCTCTCTCTCTCTCCCCTCTTCACCTCCCTTCCTTCCCTTCCTCCACTCACCATCATAAACAACAGGGATCCTCCTACGGTAATACACCAAGGCGGGAAGGGCACCCAGGGAGTACTCATCCGCTAGTTCAGGGTCGTTGATCTTGACGAAGGCTATACCCAGCTGGTCGGCGTCGTCATCCACGTTCTCCAGCTCCTGCAGGGCCTTCACGCAGCGTCTACACTCCGCCTTGTCTGAGGGAAGATAAGGAAGGTGTTCGGTTATACATTGGTATCGTTGAGTCTTGTCCCTTGGTGTCGATATTGTGTAGTTTTACGTATTATTATTATTTTTTTTAATCCTATTCGATCACTAACCTATGTAGGATTGGGGGTCTATTGGGACTCCTACTAAATCCTTAAACTTATCTAGTATGGGATTCTCTCTCTCTCTCCTAACCTCAAGCCTGTCTCATCTTCACACATATGCTCCATCTTCTTAATCACATACCTGTCCATTTCTCCTCCTTCCTCCTCTCATAAGAAACTTCTCATTCCTTCTTTACTCCGACTCAAACACACCACTGCATCGTTACCAACTCACAAAGGGCACGGTTACCAACTCACAAAGGGCACGGTTACCAACTCACACACTGCATCGTTACCAACTCACAGAGGGCACGGTTACCAACTCACAAAGGGCACGGTTACCAACTCACAAAGGGCACGGTTACCAACTCACACACTGCATCGTTACCAACTCACCAGGGTTGCCAGATGTACGACAAGCTTCACGGCCAATGTCACACCATCTCACGGCCAAAACGGCCAAAACTTTTTGGATGGGAAGCACAAGGCTATTGTTGCAATCCACACAAAATAAAAGTATCCCCTACAATATCCACTTAAAATGTCGTAATAAAACCAAATTTTCACTTGGAATTGAGAGCCCAATAATTACATAAACATAATATCTATAATCTACAGTGAAGATTTACCTTAATCTGAAATGGTGGTGGAGCATGATAATGGTGGAGAACTTGATAACACTAGTTGGCGTCAGCAAAAGCGTCTAGTTAGTCATCGTCCCCTGGTTTATTATATTTTCTACCACTGTCGTAGGACCCTTTCCATTTACTAGTGGACATTTTGAAAACTAGCACTCGGAATTTCAGAAAGTAACTCAGATGGCTTTGTTAGCTCTGAAGCTTAACCCATATGCTGGACACGTTCAGCCTGAACAACTCAAATATGAGAACTAACAACTAGAAAGATCAGTCAGCTCAGTAGGTCAAGTAAACATGTGAAGAGGTGAGGTCACTGATTAGGTGAGGTCATGACAAGGTGAGGTCACTGAGCCAGCATTTTCATTGTGAAATTTGAAAATCTACGAGACTTTTCTTCACAATCCACTAAATGAGGAATTAATACGTGTTTTACAAAATTCGGCCAAATAGTTGGGCCGTAACCATTCATTTTTTCACGGTCAGGCGAAGTTTATTACGGCCTAATTAGATAAATTTGGCCGTGAAAAAAGGCCATCTGGCAACCCTGCTTGAACTCACACCAATCGTTACCAACTCAGACACAGCATCGTTACCAACTCACACCAATCGTTACCAACTCAGACACAGCATCGTTACCAACTCACACCAATCGTTACCAACTCAGACACAGCATCGTTACCAACTCACACCAATCGTTACCAAACCCATAATCTTTTTTTTTTAGCGTAATTTATATTCCAGGCCAAAATAAACACACACGTCGCCAGGATACACACACGTCGCCAAATTATACTGAACGCACATCTACCTACCTGTCGGCTGTCACAAACCTTTACACACCTGACCACACCTGCGTATTCAAATGATTCTCTCCCACGTGTATTTGTTTATTTTAAGCGTTTGCATCTTGTATTATCTTGCCAATACTGTATACAAAATTATTATTATTATTATTATTATTATTATTATTATTATTATTATTATTATTATTATTATTATTATTATTAAGTTCTACGTACATACACAAACATGTTTACATACTTACAGTCATGTCTACATACAGTACTTGGCCGTGTCTACAGAGGGTGAATATCGGATACATAGATATATATTGGAAAAAACATGAAAATCCGATAAATGGAATGTGAAGATCTGGGGTCAAATTGGCACCTTACCCAGTGACGTCACGACCCCCCCAGAGTGCCACGGCTATCAGTGCCTTCATCAATAAGTGTCAGAGTGCCATGTTGGACCTCATGAACGAGATAGATGGTTGAGGCTGTATGGTCATCTGAAGTTAATTGGGTGGTTGGAATAGTTGTAGATTTGAACACATTAGGAACTTTTAACCTAACCTAACCTCTAACCTGACCTGACCTGACCTTAAACCTAACCTAACCTGGCCTCAAACCTAACCTAACCTGACCTCTAATCTAACCTAACAGTGTACAATAAGACGACAGCTGTTACAACGGTAAGGAGTATTTCTGGACAGGTGTGGATGCCAGGTGAAGAGAGTGAGGCTTGTACATAATTATTTTAAGAATGCACACGCTGAGGAAGACGTGACAACGGCACTGAACAACGGTGAACAATGATGAACAAAGAATGGTGAACAACGGTGTATAATGATAAACAACGGTGAAAAATGAAGAACAGCAGTGGAGAATGATGAACAATGATGAAAAGGGTGTAATGAACAACAGTTAACAATGAAGAACAATGGTGAACAATAAACAACAGTAAATATTGACCCTGAATATATAAAACCAGTGGCAACTCCTCCAAATTAGGATCAAAACGAGAGATTATTACAGTCTAGGTTACTATTGACTTGTATCCATATATCAGGTTTCATTATAATCAGTTATACTCTATTTAAGTTATCACTACATCCGTGAGACAGAGAAAACGGTCGTAACTACATGAACGAAAAATAATTATCTCCAATTTGTCTACGATATCATTGATAGGTTACATTGATTTGAGTTGATCTACCTTAACCTAATGTAATCTACCTTAAATATCACCTATTCTACCTTAAATAGCACCTATTCTACCTTAAATATCACTTAATCTACCGGGTTCTGAATTAGGTTAAGTTCCGGGTCTGCTTGAACATGAAGCTTGGCTCAATGGCCGTTCTTAGTAAACATTGTTAATTAATTAGTGGTTTACAGTGTCTGGCAGCAAGTGTTAGAGGTGAAATAACCATACCAAGCGGTTAACAACTAAACAAACAAACAAATCAGACCTGAAATATAAAAATAAAAATTACCGAAACAGGGGCAATAAAAAATTATTAGATAAACAATAAATATCGGTAAATACTACGAGAATATTGTCAAAAAAAATAATAAAGTCGGAGAAAAAAAAATTGGTCCGTGGAAGATGAACCATAGAAAACGTTGGTCATGTGGGAGGGGTGACTGAAGCGTGCGTGAGAGGAGGGACATCTCTATGGTACTACTTACGTTCGCCTTGGTTGCAAGCATCTCCGTCGTAACCTGCCGAGGTGTACACGATCATCAGTCCAACACTCTACACGGCCAACACAACACCTACAGTACAACCTTGGCCACCTCCACACGGTTATGGAACACAAATGACAGGGATACAACACAAATATCTGAGTAAACACAACTAAAACACACACACACTCACACCCTCACTCAACAGTTTACACACTTACACAAAACAAATACTAAGGACGTCACACTAGCTCATACTTACAACACTCCACATACACATACACTTAACACTTAACGCAACACAAACATCACAACACTTAACATAAACACTTAACATTTAACACTTGTAACACAAATACCGGATCTCAGGACTATATTAAGCTTACTCCAGAAATTTAAGCGTGAGGTTTGGACAGTAGTTCAATAAGGCTTATGGTTTGATCAATGGGTGGAGATTGCTGATTAGTCAGCAGGTTAAGCTTTTGGACAGGTCAGCAGTTTATGCTTACGGGCGAGTCAGCACCTGAAGCTTACAGACGGGTCAGCAGGTTAATCTTACGGACGTGTCAACAGATTTAGCTTAAGGACGGGACAGCAGGTCAAGCTTAAAGACGGGTCAGTAGGTGAAGCTTATAGACAGATCAGCAGATTTGGCTTACGGACGGGTCAGCATGTTAAGCTTACGGACGGGTCAGCAGTTTAAACTTACAGGCGGATCAGCAAATTAAGCTTATGGACGCGTCAGCAGAATAAGCTTAGGGACGGGTCAGCAGTTTAAGCTAACAGACGGGTCCGCAGTTTAAGCTTAAAGACGGGTCAGTAGGTGAAGCTTATAGACGGATCAGCAGATTTGGCTTAGGGACGGGTGAGCAGGTTAAGCTTAGGGACGGGTGAGCAGGTAAGGCACCATGGCCCTCAGGATAATATAAATGGTTGTGTGAAGTCATGACCATAAAGAGTGACTGACAGTGGCACTAATGAGAAGAATGTCAATGACACTGAGTCAGGCACTGGGACTGCCAAGGTCTATACATGACAACAACAACAACAACAATTACTCATGTATAACAATGTATATTCACTCGAGAATGTGTGAGCACCAACTCAAAAGATATGCATATTTACTGTATATTCAAGTATATTTATATATATAAATTTGGTATAATCACAATATAAATAATCGGAATTGGTACTCAAGACATTAACCCAACAATAATGTTCATTTTAACACAAACTAAGAACAATGTATATATTTCACAATGGAGGGACAGAGAAATAAAGAAATGGTGATAATATACATAACAAAAGAGAAAGGGAGAGAGACAGAGAGAGAAAAGCAGAGAAACATTACAACAGAGAAACACGACAGAAAGAAACACTACTTCAGAGACATAGAGTAGCACTACCACAGACAGACTTCTAGAGAAACACTACCACACAGACAGACTTCTAGAGAAACACTACCACACAGACTTCTAGAGAAACACTACCACACAGACTTCTAGAGAAACACTACCACACAGACTTCTAGAGTAGCACTACCACACAGACTTCTAGAGAAACACTACCACACAGACTTCTAGACACACACTACCACACAGACTTCTAGAGAAACACTACCACACAGACTTCTAGAGAAACACTACCACACAGACTTCTAGAGAAACACTACCACAGACAGACAAGAAACATTACTACATGGACAAACACTAACACAGTATTATTATGATTAACGAAAGCTTAATCTACCCAAAGGCAAAGCTTATGAGAATTATTATGATCAACGAAAGCTTAATCTACCCAAAGACAAAGCTTTTATGAACAGATGATAATGTTTTAGTGGCCAGACAAACTATAATATCTAAAAAAAAGTGAATAGGTAAACAGAGAGAAGGTCAGGGCTACAAGAGGGACAGTGCCAGATAGTGCCACTCACAGCCTGTCAGTACTGAGTCTCACTAAGCCCAAGTGCCAAGCAATATGACAAGTAACTGGTCATTAGAAAGCTTTAAAAAACACGACCAAACAATGCCCTTCATAGCTGCTCAATAGAGGGTCTCAGTTAACACCCCAATAACACCTAGTTAACACCCCAATAACACCTGGTTAACACATCATTAACACCTGTCATACCTGGGTAGGAGGGAAGCCTTCCAGGACCCTTCACCTGTAGCTCTGGTTCTTATCATTAACATCTTTCATCACTACTGGGCAAACTCATGCAATTCTTCACTACAACCTAACGTCACACTAACACCCACAGGTAACATGGCGTCACACTAACGTCACACTAACACCCACAGGTAACATGACGTCGTTCCTGTGTTAAAATGACGTTAAAGTGATGTCAAGATGTCATGTCAACGCCACCACGACAACGTGTACATCTACTAAGAAAATCAAGATATGTTTGGCGTCCTCGAGTTGAAAGGTGTGTGTGTGTGTGTGTGTGTGTGTGTGTGTGTGTGTGAACTAAATGTATATAGTGTGTCTATGGCCTTCAGAATTAATTATGTGGTTTAAAAAATAATCATTGATATGAAAGACCAACAGACACATAATAAACATCTCCTTAACACACACACACACACACACACACACACACACACACACACACACTAAAGACACAGTCACACCATAACCACCACTACGTCACTCACTATACACACGCTTATCTAACACTATATATCTACTACACAGGCCCTGGTCAAATGGGGCCCGTCCTAATAGACCCCAAAGTAAGGGTCAAGGGTCCAATGTGCTTTAAAGTCTATTTGGATTCGTCAGGTAGGATCAGAACCCATTAAATTACGTCCCATTAGGATTGTAACCCATGAAATTACGTCCCATTAGGATTGGCCATTATTTGGATTGGAAGACACTTGTATCAGGGTCAATGGGGACTAGGGCCCATTATGAGTAGACTTAATGGGTATTGGGACTCATTGGGGCTGGATTCTAATGGAACCAAAAGTAATGTTCAGTTTAAATAGATTGGGGCCTAATAGAACTGGGGCCTAATAAGAGTGGGGCCCATTTGACCAACCACCACTAGCATTACTACACTGGCAGAAGATTCTATAGTACAGTAAAGAATCAGGGAGATGATGTTGAGAGTCAGGGAGAAGATGTTGAGAGTCAGGGAGAAGATGTTGAGAGTCAGGGAGATGATGTAGAGAGTCAGGGAGATGGGGGAGAGAGTCAGGGAGATATACTATGAACTAGTAAGCAAATTATTTAGAGATTCTACAGAACCCTTAAACCTTACAAAACCGAACCCTTAGATGTCACAAAACAGAACCCCTTAACTACTCACAAGACCCCTTAACTACTCACCAAACCCCTTAACTACTCAACAAAACCCCTTAACTACTCACAAAACCCGTTAACTACTCAACAAAACCCCTTAACTACTCACAAAACCCCTTAACTACTCACCAAACCCCTTAACTACTCACAGAACAGAACCCCTTAACTACTCACAAAACCCCTTAACTACTCACAAAACCCCTTAACTACTCACAAAACCCCTTAACTACTCACAAAACAGGACGGCGACAAACTCTTGCTCCTCTACAATCTTGTCCAGAATCTTGGCGTTGACCTCCTCGATCTGGTCAGGTAGTTCCATGGCTTCCAAACTCGTGAGGAACTCTAAAACACTCCCTTCGTCCATCAAGTCACCTGCAGAAGGGGTTAACACCTCTTAATTATCTCGTAGGGGGAGGTAGATTAATGTCTGGTGGGGATAGGGTGGGGTAGGGTGTGTTAGAGTCTCGTAGGGGTAGGGTACGTTAGAGTCTCGTAGGGGTAGGGTACGTTAGAGTCTCGTGGGGGAGGTACAAGAGCTCAAGTAGGGCACTAGAGTCCTGTAGGCAGGGCTGCCAGGAGTCTTTGGGGGGCAGGAGTCCCCGGGTAGGGGTGGCCACAGAGCCTTTTAAGCTAGGGGTACAAATATTTTAGTATCGTGAGGCAGAGTACACCTGAGGGGAATATATATATAGGTCTTAGGCCTAGGGGGATAGGTCTACTAACCTTCATAATGGATAGGCTCCTTATTCCTAAAGAAGGAGAGGGCCGGGAAGATCTTGATGCCGTAGGACTTGGCCAACTTCTTGTCCGCCACCTTGACGAAGTGCACGCCGAACCTGTCCGTGTCATCGTCAATCGTCTCGAGTTCGCTGAGGACCTTGTCGCAGTCCTTACAGCTTCTTTTGTCTGTGGGTGAGAGAGGTGAGGTGGTGTTAGACGGGCGTTTAGACAATGGAGACGAGATTTATTCAGGGTGGACGGGGTTTTAGACAGAGCGGACGAGTGGGGCGACAGACAGATATGAGAAGGGTGTTACCAAACTATTAACTTCTTGCTATTAACTTCATCATTAACATCAATCTAACTGTGATTGTCAAGTTACTTTCCTTTAAATAACTCACTAATTTCACTGTACTTAACTGGAGGTATAATTTCATCTAACAAGTCAAACAAAAGAGCATCGATGAGTATAAGTTCAGGTACATCGATGTCTCCTAAAATATTATCAACAGAAATAAGTCATAATGTAAACCTTTCACATCTTGGATATTCGTCTTTTTTTATTAAATTATTGTTGCATGAACATAAACCTTGACTGATGATGAAGACAGGAGATTTGTGTGTGGGGGGAGGGGGAGCAAAGGCTATAAGGGTGACGATACACCTTTTCCTTCTCCACGTCCTCTCATCTCCTTCTTTGCCTCCTCCCATCCCTGGCCCCTCCTCCTCCCTCCTACCCCCCTGCCACGGACCACCCCAGATGGTTGACCTGACACTGAGCTGGCTAAGACCCCCACAGTGCCCCACACCAGTCCCTCACACCCATCACCCAGGAGCCCACTGGCACTTATACACAACACACAGTCCAGAAGAAACACACACACACACACACACACACACACACACACACACACACACACACACACACACACACACACACACACACACACACACACACACATAAATAAATAAAAATAAACTCTCCCAAGAATCATGCAAGTGTTGTGTGTTTGTGTTGCATGTGAAGTATTTTTATGATGTTTATAGTGGTTTAAAGGCGTTCTACCTCCCCCACGACGCCACTAAGATGATGATGCTCCTCCTCCTCCTCCTCCTTCTTCTTCTCCTCCTCCTCCACACTTCCGCATAGAGAAAGAGCAACAGTATTTATGGAACTTGACAGATCGACAACCATTCCTGAGGTGTGTGTGTGTCACCTCAGCTACCTAATAGCATAACAACCATGTCTATAATTAGGGATTTCAATTTTACACACACACACACACACAAGCACACACACAAGCACACACACACACAAGCACACACACACACACACAGCCTCTCCCCCTTCCCAACACACTGCCACCTCTCTCCAACACACTCCTCCCTCCTCCTCCTCCAACACTCCCTCATGGTCGCCCCATCAGAGTGACACTGACCATTTGCTATTATTAAGATCTGACACCAGTGCCAACTCCCTTACTCTTCCTCCTCCACCACCACCTCCTCCTCCTCACTACCTCTGTGTGTGTGTGTGTGTGTGTGTGTGTGTGTGTGTGTGTGTGTGTGTGTTAATTACAATACATCAACACACAAAGGTGCCTCAGATCACCTGCTGAGGAAATAGCACAACAGGACCCAACTAACCTAACCCAACCTAACCTATCCCACCTGACGTTACTAGCAACACCTGACGTTACCAGCAACACCTGACCATGTTGCCAGCTCTCACCTTGTCTACCGCAACACAACTTCCCTCCCATGGTTGACATCGTCCTAGGTGTCTGTTTATAAATATGTCTTGGTAATGGTGTCAGGTCAACTGGGCACCATTAATGACACATAACCATTGAGGTTCATTAGCATTTAGGGCCGTTTGGACCTGGATTATTGGCACCAGCTGAAGCACCAGGTAGGCCGAGGAATCAAAAGTCACGCGGGGGGAGGGGGTCTGACTCATACAGGCAGTTGGCACTTGAGGCACTCCCCAAGTATGACCATAGGCACTACCCCTGGCACCACCCCTGGCACCCTCATGCTCTTTAACATTACTAAGTACAAAACCACACACGTAGGTCACAACAACAACAACCACCCTGATCACAACTATTGTTAATAACTCTCCCGGATACTGGACTGGAGGCGGGGGCCAGAGAAGAGCAAACCGAGATTCAGGATTTATAAAGCGGACCTTCGTATAGGATGATGGTAAAATGGTCCTAAAGTTGTACAGATCCCAAGAACATCCCAGTCTGGAGTACTGTATACAGGCATGGAAACACTACCTCAAGCAACACAAACATCTCTAGAAAAGATTCAACACAGAGCTACTAAGATGCAACACAGAGCTACTAAGATGCAACACAGAGCCACTAAGATGATTCCTCAACTATGCCATCTAGATTGTCCACATACACTGATGGCCTTACGACTAACAGCCCATCAGACAAGGCACAACAGGACAGATCTCAGACAAACATTAAAAATTCTGAAAGTGATGGAAAACACGAACCCGGGACATCTCTTATAGTGATGTCACGCACCACCAACACGGGGGAACATAACTACAAGCTGGCCAAGTTATCATGCAGAACGAATATAAGGAAATACTTCTCCACACAGAGGCTAGTAGACCTATGGAACAGTCAAGAAGGCTAGTAGACCTATGGAACAGTCAAGATCAGTACTGGGCTTCAAAATAGACCTCTAGTGGGTGGTCATTAGGTACATAAGATAAATGTACCATCTCTAGGCACTCCCAAGGCAAACCAGAGGCATCGTAGGCATCCCAGGCACTCATCAATCTGGCCCGCCGCCTCACCATCTGGCTCTCAATTGGCACTCTGGGTAGATATACACTGATTTTTAGGTACACACACACACACACACACACACACACACACACACACACACACACACACACACTATATAGCCCATTATCTCCTTAATCTGGCCCCTGTCAAGAATCTGAGAAAAAGATGGGACATTATACCAGGTAGGACAAGTTTATATATGCCTCAGGGTATTTGCCTCTCCTGGGGCTGACAGACAGTGCCAAGTGCATGACGAGTGCCACTCTCTACTTCTCCAAGGTCGAATGGCATTGGGCTCTTCCTTATTGCTTACAGTGCCAAGATGATGTACTAACTGGTGCTTGGTGAGCGTATCTAGTTAAGGTAGGTTAGGTTACAGCTCGCTTCGTCAGTACACGTGGTGGTCAACGCCCTGTGACGCGAGGCAGCAGTAGGGTGCCACAGTGCCTCGTCATTACTGCCACATCAACTCGGTTCTGCTTTGTCCTGGTGCCACGTCGCCTTAATGCTATGTCGTCAATGCCAAGTTTGTCTCGGTGCCACGTCTCCTTAAGGTGTAGAAGCTGTCACCAACACAACAACCACACCTTGAGTTAACGAGTTGCAAGACCCAGTGTCAAGGAATAGTCCGAGCAGACCGGTCAACTCACCAACTGCACTGGCTAACCATTACCCCGGAATACGACCCACAAGTCGATAAACATCCAGGTCCCCAATTACTGCTGGGTAGACAGAGGCAAATAGCGTAAAGAAACTTGCCCATAGTTTCACCCTGCCCGGGGATGGAACCCGGGTCCACTACCTTGTAAGGCGAGCATGCTGACCATCTCACACACACACACACACACACAGCTAGCAATACAGGAGAGAGAGAGAGCCAACACCTTCAACAATTATATTAACAGGTGGTAGGTCCCTGTGACCAGCTGGTGAGGCAGGTGGTGGCATGTTGTTCCTCCTCCACCACTACCACCACCACCACCACTACCTCCTCCACCACTACCACCACCATCACTACCTCCTCCACCACTACCACCACCACCACTACCTCCTCCACCACTACCACCACCACCACCACCACTACCTCCCTCCCACCACTACCACTACCACCACCACCACTACCTCCCTCCACCACTACCTCCACCACTACCACCTCACCACCACTACTCCTTCCTCCTCATCCTACAATCACACCACTACCTCTTCCTCCTCATCCTACACCATTACCCAATAACAGAGGGAAGAGGAAGGGGAAGCCTTACAATAGACAAGGGAAGGAGGAGGAGGATCGTCTGTCTCGCCCACTATGTTAAGACTCGCCAGAACTCACGACTCGAATAGGTATTTCGACCCAGCCTCTCTTCCTCCTCCCCCTCCTCCTCTTCTTCCCCTTCTTCCTCCTCTTCTTATTTCCTGTCCTTCTTCGTTCAATAAGGCCTCCTTCTTTTCCTTCTTCTTTCCTCCTCCCTTCCTCCTCTTCACGACATAAACACCTGCCCCCTTAATAGACTCCACAGGTGCGTTAATTGCATAGTTCCGGACAGGAATTTGTGAGGCTCTTGCAACCTGCATTATTGAACTTGCAACCTCCTTCACTGGCAGGTGTTACTATGGTCCACTAACAGGTGTTACTATGGTCCACTAACAGGTGTTACTATGGTCCACTAACAGGTGTTACTATGGTCCACTAACAGGTGTTACTATGGTCCACTAACAGGTGTTACTATGCTCCACTAACAGGTGTTACTATGCTCCACTAACGGTGTTACTATGGTCCAGTTGTCCATAACAGGTGTTACTATGGTCCACTAACAGGTGTTACTATGGTCCACTAACAGTGTTACTATGTCCACTAACAGTGTTACTATGTCAAACGTGTTACTATGCCACTAACAGGTGTTACTATGGTCCACTAAAGTGTTACGTCCACTAACAGGTGTTACTATGGTCCACTAACAGGTGTTACTATGGTCACTAACAGGTGTTACTATGGTCCATTAACATGTTACTATGGTCCACTAACAGGTGTTACTATGGTACTAACAGGTTACTATGGTCCACTAACAGGTGTTACTATGGTCCACTAACAGGTGTTACTATGGTCCACTAACAGGTGTTACTATGTCCACTAACAGGGATTATGGTCCACTAACAGGTGTTACTATGCTCCACTACGATTATGGTCCACTAACAGGTGTTACTATGGTCCACTAACAGGTGTTACTATGGTCCACTAACAGGTGTTACTATGGTCCACTCCACTAACAGGTGTTACTATGGTCCACTAATACTTTCCACTAACAGGTGTTACTATGGTCCACTAACAGGTGTTACTATGGTCCACTAACAGGTGTTACTATGGTCCACTAACAG